GGATGAGCCCCCGGGATACGTTGCTCGAGGCGAAGACTTCGATAACGAGGACCCAAATAACACGGCACAACTTTTATGGCAACCGAGTGATGCGGTGGGTGCTACTATCACAGATTCCGAAATCGATGAGTATATCGCTACAGCCAAGAAGAAAATCATGCCGTTATTTAGCCTACCGAAAGCATCCACCAACCTTCTAGACGTTGCCGCAAATACCCTTTACAAGAACGACTTCAACCCTGACAAGGCATTGAAGGCCCTCTCACAGACCGAGAGATCGGTATTCAAGGAGCCAGAGCTAAGTCCCACGGAGACCAAGAAGTTTGAAGAGGGTGTCACAAAATACGGTTCTGAGCTCTACCTGGTAACAAGGCATGTCAAGACAGTCAAACATGCCCGTATTGTACGGTTCTACTACACGTGGAAGAAGTCGGACCGGGGCAAGCAAGTTTGGGGAAGCTTCTCCGGCAGGAAGGGCAAGAAAGAAGCCAAAAAAGCCGAGGCAACCGCCAACAAACTCCAGGACGATGTTGCTGATGATCACGATGACTCTGCATTTGATACAGATAAGGCCCTGGAGCGAAAGCGAGGTTTCATCTGCAAGTTCTGTCACAACAAATCCTCGAGACAATGGCGCCGCGCCCCCCATAGTGCCTCTGCGGTATTCACCGAGGGAGGTGGCAAAAGCAATAAAGACAAGGGCAAGGAGTACGTCCTCGCGCTGTGCCGACGCTGTGCGGAACTGTGGCGGCGGTATGCCATACAGTGGGAGGATGTGGAGGATCTTGCCCGGAAAGTTGCCGCCGCTGGTGCTCGATCATGGAAGCGCCGAGTTGATGAGGAGTTACTGAAGGAACTTATGCTCGCCAACGAGATGATGAACCAGACGGTGTATAACACACCAGTTAGGAGAAGCCCCTCGGCGCAAGCCTCATCGGCGAACACCCCAGTCCAGATCAGTGCCCCCGAGCCGCCACCGCGAAAGAAGCTCAAGACTCTCGCTGATAAAGAGGCTGAACTCAAGGCATTGGACACTGGTGTAGCCCCAACGGCAACAGCAGCCCTAGCGGCAGCCCCATCCCCAGCCCCAGTTGTTGCTCCGCCCAAGAAGAAAGAGATGGTGGTAGTCGAGAAATCCGCCCCTCCTCCGGCGCCCGAGTTGCCCAAGCCCCGTGTGCTGCCCTGCGCGATTTGCTACCAGATGAATCCTTGGGGAGAGCAAACTCATCTTTCCTGCAAAGAGTGTCGTCTTACTGTCCATCGTGCCTGCTATGGTGTTCTCGACAATCGCCATCCCGGAAAATGGACTTGCGACACGTGTCTCAATGACAAGAACCCCCAAGTATCCCTCGTACGTTCGCAGATGATCCGTTGGAGACTACCATAACTAACCATTGATCCAGGAATACAAATGTGTATTGTGTCCTGTCCAACACACGGAGCATGATTTTGTGGAGCCGCCCAAGAATACACACAAGAAAAAGTCCGAGAAAGAGAGAGAGAAGGAACGGCTCGACCGTGAATTGGCCCAGAAAGCTGCAGATTTCTATCGGAAGAGACAGGAAGAGTTGAACCGGCCCGTGAACCCAAGGGAGCCCCTGAAGAGAACCGCGGACAACAACTGGGTCCACGTGACCTGTGCCGTGTGGACCCCCGAGGTCAAGTTCGCCAAAGCCAAAGCTTTAGGCCCTTCGGAAGGCATACCGTCCATCCCCCGGGCCAGATACGAAGAGGTGTGTAAGGTGTGTAAGCAGCGAGGCGGTGCTTGTGTAAACTGTCACCAGTGTCGTGCTCCAGGTAAGCTGACCCGCCACAGCTGCAAGAATATTTTGCTAACATGATGGCCTCGTGAAGTTCACGTCGAGTGTGCCCACAAGAGTGGCTACCTCTTAGGGTTCGAGATTACCCCCGTTAAGGGCTCAAGACGGGACCAACATAACATCGTGACCATTGGCGGGGAGACTGGAGCCATGTCGGCAGCTATCTGGTGCAAGGAGCACATTCCCCAAAGAACCATTGTCCATCGTATGCATGACATTGTCAGTGTACCGGATGGTCAGGGCAACGATCCGAATGCAATGCAACTTTACGTGCGGACGTTCAAACAAGCAGACCTCACGCTAACCGGGACTGTTCGCAAAGCGAACCTGGCCAATCTTGTCACGAAGATATCAGCAGTCACCTGCCCCGTCGCACAAAACCGGAGGCAATCGACTACGACTATTTCCAACGCGGTGGCAGGAGGACAGAAAGTGCTGTCAGCAGACCACCAGGCCGAGACAGCGTCCATCATTCCTCACACTGGTGACAAGGTGTGCATCACATGCGGAATTGATGTCAGCCCGAGGTGGTGGCCGATCGACAAAACACAAGAGAAGGCCCTGACGAACGGATACCATGGTCATGTCGGTGACGAGGCTCAGCGATTTATTGCACAGAGAAACTTCCAGTGCCACAAGTGCAAGAAGGCTGATCGCCAGCCGGTCCCCCATGCACCGCCTCCAACTCAAGCGCCACCGCCTGCGGTTGAGCCATTACGCCCTCCTCCTGTGATCAATCCCCCCGCGACTGCGAGTCCGCCACCACATGCATCGCATGTTGTGAGCAGGATTCCGGACTTGGGAAGTCCTTGGGGCCCCCGACCACCTATGGTACAGGCCCCTGCGTCTTCATCACTACCTCCAACTGCTGTACCTCCGCTGCATGTGTCCCCGAATGGTCCACCTCCGCCCTTGGCTATGTCTGCTCGTCATGGGGCCCCGAGTCCGAGTCCTATGGCAGCACCGGCGCCTCCACCAATGGCTCCTCATCACTATCCACCCCCAAGCGCACCGTACGGCGACTGGCAGCGAGGTGCGACACAGCCCCCAGCAGCCATGCATCATATGAATGGTAGTTCCGGTGGATCGGTTCCTTTCCATCACAATCACCTTCGAGATCTCCGGCCTCCACCGGTAGCTCCCATACCACATCATCAAGCCGCTCCAGCTCAACATGGGCTAGGGCAGCCCATGGTGAGTGGGGCTCCACCGTCTCCTCCCCGACGCGGACCAGCCCCTATTCATAATAATGCGCCCTCGTACTTGCCCGCATATCATCACTCGACGCAACACTCACTCCACAATCTCACAAACGGTGGCCCTCCACCACGCGCCTCGTCCGATCACCCGTTCCAGGGCTTGTTGTCCCAACGCACGTCTTTCTCGACACCACAAGGGAGCCCGCCAGTCTCAAGAGATGGGATACCGATGGCACGGGAACCAAGTCTCCCGAATAACAATCCCCCTTCGCGGCCTAACGATGTTCGCCCCCCCAGCGGTGCCAGTGCCAGCCCATCGCTGCGCAACCTTCTTTCATGATCATATATACATGGCATGTCGCAGTCCCCACTGCTGTAGTCTGTTGACTACTTGCTTTACTGATTTTGGCGTTAAGGGCAGATGGTTGTATAACTAGAGGGAATATACCACATGTGTTGCGGGTTACTAAGGCGTTCGTAGTAGCTGGGACACAAGGGCCGTTGTGTCCTGCGCGTCTCCGGCATCTGTACAAAAGCTCATTGGGATTACAGCGTGGTTCAGTGTATGACCGGCTATACAGTAGTACACTGAAGGCAGTGTTGCCGTCACAGGTAGTTGGGCGCAAGCGTGTGCCGAGAAATGTCATAGACGGCGAAGAAAATGATGACAAACCTACGCGGCTGCAGAGCTCAAGCAACTACTGCACCTCACACCATGTTTGCGTGCCCTCCCTTCACTCGTCTATTCAGTGTAGCAGGCATTGCATAGTGACTACGTTACTTGGTGTCTGACGAGCGCGCCACAGATATACTGCAGAAGGACGTGACAACAGTCGAAAGTGGTATGTTTGCTGGCATGGTCTACTGTCTACTGGATGGGCTATTTGTATGTGATATCGGGTGGCGCGTACCCGGAACTGGGACGCCTGGCCATGTATGGCCGTGTATCGTGTCGTATGGTTGAGTCTGCGCGGTCCAGGGCTACCTACAGTCTTTTGAGATGGGAACTCTGGATCACAGGCTCGAGGTCGGGTCGAATACTGATGGATGCCCTCGAAGCGTCAGTTGGGTGAAGATAACCAAAGCTAGGTAGATAGCGGAAATTTCTCTTTAAGTAACGTGATTACGCTGCGTTTGCACAGCTTGGTTACGACTTAGGGGCGGACGCTTTCTGCATCCGTTATTTGAGCTCCTGTTTTTGGCCATTGCTGGGGCAGTGGGAGCTGTAAGGATGAATGTGTGTATATAAGTACCTAGGTAGGTACTGGAGGCTTTGTGTATTTTGGCAAGAGTCCTGCTATTTGCACCTTGTTAGAATTCCACACCCCACCTGTTAGCCAGTTGCAATGCAGCCCCCTATCTCAGCACAACTGCACCGACAACTGCACCGACAACTACACCGACAACTACACCGACAACTACACCGACAACTACACCGACAACTACACCGACAACTACACCGACAACTACACCGACAGCTGCATCGATAATCGCACCGACAACCTCGATCTAATGGTAAGCCGTGAGCTTGGTGGTTAGCCCGCTGCCAGCTGCCTGGGGAGATGGGGATGGAGATAAGGTACAAATAAGGAGTTCTCACAAGGTGCCAATAGCAGGACTCTTTGGCAATTTGGCAGAACCAATTTTCCTGGCCGTCACCGCCTGTTACTGGAGGCCCCAGGGTTTTCGATCAGTCAGGTCATACAGAAAGTCTGGGGAACTAGTGAAACGCGGCCGCTTAAAGGAAAAGTATTTATGCTAAATTGCTTGTGGAAGTAGCTGGATCGACGAAGGTGTAATATTGCAGAAGTGATCCATACCAGTGCTCACGCTTGCATTCAGGTGCCGCGGGCTGTTCACCGGCCATGCCATGCAAATCTATATCCCCCGAGTCTATTCACACTAATGGTACAGTCTAGCGTCTATCGCGTGATCGTACATAACGTCTCCTAAAGCCAGATGCCCCAGCACCGATGGATCATCATGCTGCCTTGGCCTTCTGTATATCTTTTTCTGTGGCCCCGTTCCACAACATGCGGGCCTTTGTGCCATCTGGCGCCGTGCGCTCCCAACTGCCCTCGGACCGCAGGTACTCTCGAAGGCTGTTGACGAGCTTCCCGTCGCTCGTATCGAAGGGGACATGTTCGCGTGAGAGGAGGTTGGCTATCTCCCCGGCAACCAGGGGCGCGGCTGAGAAGATTAGCCAGATGTGCGGTGATAGACAGACCATGGTTTTGGGGTTTGATGGTTGCGAGAGTAGTTGCGTTGTGACGATCTGATGGGGGCAGACTTACCAAAAGATGTGCCATCCTTTGTTGTTACTGCGCCGGCTTTCGAGTAGCACGTTACATCGCCCGTGGCATACATCCAAAGGTGGGCACCTCCTTGTGAATTCGGGCGTATGATACCATTGGCATCCGCATTACCTACGTTGATAATAGGTACATCGGTCTCTTCAAAGACACCCGGCACCGTGTCGATGGCATGGCGGCCGAGTTGCGAGCCGAAGTTTCCGGCCGCGTTGACAAAGGGAACGTCCATATCGATGATCTCTTTGATCTTTCGTCTTAGATCTCGCTCCCACGTTGTGATAGCCCCACTGCCTGTCGTGACTGGCCAATATAGAGACAGAGTGACCACGCTTTTCTTGCGACGTTCGGGGTTTGCCCGTAAATCGTTGATGACTGCGATTACAGCCTGTAATATATCACTTTTTAAAACACCCGCCATCTTCACTACGACCAGGGTAGCTTTTTTGGCAGCACCAAATTTCGTGCCGACCGCCTTATCAGCAACGCAGGTAGCATGCGAGTTTAAGCTATTAGCAAAGCAGAGTTAGTAATTACTCGTTTTCGACGAGAAACAAAGAGTCAGAATGCGTGTCTCGGGAACGAGGGCTCTTGACACAGGCTAGAAGAGGAGATTCGCCCCTGAAAAACGGCCAGAAGGGGCAATGAGAACCTCGAAAATGTACATACCTTTCATCGTCAAAGGGAGCCATCTTTTTGACACTTGCTACCGGAGTCAATATGGGGATGACTTTGGTAAATTCCTGTAGGTCGTTAGCATGTTCTTTCTAACACTGTGCTGGTCCATGACAAGTCGAGTTTACGAATGAGGATAGAACCCCACACGGGGTCCTCGTCTTACTGAAGTTACCTTACCTGAGTGTTTTTGTATGCCACTCCAAGTTCCAGGTGGTAGACGAAGCTATTCTCTCCAGCACGGCTATCGTATACATATTTATTCTTGAGCTGGGAGATGTCCGGTTCTGTGCTTGGGGGCGAATTCAGTCAGTACCTTGCGAGCTGATGAGTCGTTTCGGGGTGAAGATTGTGCTCGACATTGTTACTCAGCAACGACCCAACCACCCGGTCGCTGCTCACACAGGTGCTCGATTCCCCCCGGAAACACTGTAGGGTATCCAGAGCTCAATGCACATACCGCGGTTGGCTGATAGCTACCAATTCGGGGACAGCATCTTTTTGAGCGACATAGTCAAGGTCCCGTTTCCGTACGTCAGAAAGGTCGGATGGCGACGGCAGCTTCCGGCGCGGTAGGTCCCGTTCTTGCATCTCCTCGTTCTCGACTATCGCGCTCGTACTCTCCTGGACGTTCTTGACTTTTTCGATTTCCCGGGCCTTTTCAGCCTGGTTCTCGGTGAGAGAGGCAGCCCAGAAAACGAGCTCTTTTCCGTCGCGTATTGGGACGATAGCTGAAGATAGCTTCCGAAGCTCCTCTTCAATGTGCGTGACGTCATTTTCTTTGTTCCCATCCTCGGGGAAAACCATGAATTCATCGACAACATCTCGTTGCATGAAACTTAGGCCTCCCTCGGCGCGAGAAGCGAGGCCTTCCTTGGAGAGAGTGCCAACATCCATGGCAACATGGGGAGCGCCCAGAACGACTGCGAGAATGCAAAACAAAGAGAAGAGTGAGAAAGGAAGCGGTCCCATGTTGGGCTTTGGTGCGATGGATTAGGCAATGGAGGGGAGCTTAGGGATTCAAGCACAGGAAAAGGTGTGAGTTGATGTTGATGTGCTCGGCAGACCATGGCACACAAGAGGGACAGCAGCATTGATACATATATATGTTCGGAAACCAGAGCCATCCAAGCTGTCATAACGGGCACTTCACACCGGACACGTTTGCAAGACCACAAGTACACTGCAATACCCATGATGAAGCCACGATGATCCAATCCTCATGACGACGTATATCGGCCACACCGGCTCCCAAAGAGCGCATAACGAGACTTCGGTATACCCGCCCAGACTCATTGCGTGGCTAACGGTGGGTTAGCCCAGGTCTTTGGTCCGCAAATTTGTCAATAAGTTCGAAATTCTGGGGATACTTCATTTTGCGCGGCAATCCTACTACGTAGGTAGAACTTTGGAACTTCTATTAAGGTCATACAGGGCTGACAGGCTGACAGGTCGCCAGCACTGGAGGTAGTAGCGCGGGGCCATGTGGAGGGCAGGTATATCTTGTGCAGGTAATCTGAGGCGAATAAGTCGAGGCGGGTAAAGGGAACGTTGAACTGAGACGGGAGGTTCACTCACGCCGCACTCTGACTCAGCACCGATCCAGTGCAGGCTGCCACTGTGGCACTGTGGCGCTGTGGCACTGTACAGCTGAGGTGCCAGGTGGAGACGGGATCCCCGGCAGCTGTCCGGGTCTGGTAGGCCCTTCCGCCTTCTTAAGTTGATTAGGTACCTAGGTACTGGGCTTCAGGTGGAGCTCCTGTTTGGAAGCACGTGAGTTCGTGTACCTAGGTAATGTTTCCGTCGCGCGCATCGCCGCAGACCAGTCTCCGCATAGGGAACAACCATTCACCCATGAGCCGCTCAGATACCGTACACAGTCCCGTCTACGACTGCCCCAGTCACAGTCAAGTTGCCGTCTATCGTTGACTAGATCCCGCGCCTCCGTCATGCTGGCGGTGAAGGACGAGAAAGCCGGCCATTGCCAATTGGATAACTTAGGGCCCTTGATAACCCTATTGTTCTCTCCGAGCTTACCTTCTCGACGATCCTCGAGTACATCTATATGCTGCTATGGAGCAGAGACAAGGCATTTTCCACCAGACCACTGTCGAAGCCCTCGCAGTTCGCCAGCCCGAGTTCCACCCAGTCACCTTCGCCGGGACCAAACGGGCCCATTCTGAGCTTGCCGGTCCTCTGCAGCACCAGCATACTGCAGCATCAAACAGACACACCCAGTTTCAAAGGGCTTCATCCCTTGGAAAAGAGCCCCATAGACTGACCGCGAGCGCCATTATCGCGCTGGATACTGGTACCACTGTTGCACTCCCCACTTCTGAATACTCGCAGCGCCGAGTCATATCAGCTACGCCCACGTCCACCATAGATCGCTCACTCTCGCTGTTTTCCCCAAGGTATGCTCTGCCGGCATCCTTAGTTGCCAACTTCAGAGCTCTCGGCATCGAGGATATCTACCCGTGGCAAAAGCAGTGCTTACTGGGGCCTGGCCTTCTGGCCGGCTCGAAAAACCTCGTGTATAGCGCACCCACCGGTGGCGGCAAATCCCTAGTTGCTGATATTCTGATGTTGAAGAGGGTGCTGGAAGATAGGAACGCGAAAGCTCTACTGGTCCTTCCTTACGTTGCCCTAGTCCAGGAGAAGGTCCGATGGCTACGAAATGTCGTTCAGGATATCAAACGGCAGCCTCTCAATGATGACAAGCAAGAGAACAAGCAGCGTCTCTGGCAGAAGCGACCGGATGAGGACAATATCCGGGTCGTCGGTTTCTTCGGGGGTGGCAAGATCAGGGCTACTTGGTCCGACTTTGATATTGGTGTCTGCACGTTTGAAAAGGTTCGTTAATCAATGATACCCTATCTCCCGCTTGCTGACCCTGACACAGGCGAACATGCTCATCAACGCTGCTATAGACGATTGCACCATCTCGAAGCTGAAGGCTGTTGTGCTCGATGAGCTTCATATGGTTGATGATGATCACCGTGGCTATCTTATGGAACTCATTGCCACAAAGCTTCTAAGCCTTGAGCATGGTGTTCAGATCATTGGCATGAGTGCAACATTAGCGGTGAGTACAACCCTTGTCACCTGATATCCCTCCCTAACAGAGCCAGAATATGGACATATTGTCGCAGTGGCTCGACGCGCACACTTACTCGACGTTCTATCGTCCAGTGCCAATCGAGGAACATCTTGTCCACGAAGGCAACATCTATCCAGCCTCAACGGCTTCCGGCATCCTCAAGACTGCTAGCCAGTCAGGGACAAATCCAAGCGCCGCTCAAGCGCACGGCGACCCAGTCAGGATAATACAGCCCAGTGCACATAAAGAGTTTCAAGATCCCGGTTTGAACGCAGTCGTGGCGTTGGCGAATGAAACAGCCAGATCGGGCTATGGGGTACTTGTGTTTTGCAGCAGTCGCCAGGGCTGCGAATCTGATGCCCGTCTAATCAGCCGTGTTCTACCTGACGTCCATGAACTGGAACCTTCTGTCGTCGAAAAAAGAATGGACCTCCTGGGAGACCTGCGCAGTCTCCCAACCGGACTCGATCCTAGCTTAGCGGAGACGATCCCTGCCGGAGTCGCCTTTCATCACGCTGGCTTGACGACGGAGGAGCGTGACTTGGTTGCCAATGCCTACGATAACGGTGCGTTGAAGGTAGTGGTAGCAACGTGCAGTCTTGCCGCAGGGATCAATCTACCTGCTCGGCGAGTGATCCTACACAATGCACGGATGGGCCGAGATCTGGTTGGTCCTTCCATGCTACGGCAGATGCGCGGACGAGCCGGCAGAAAGGGAAAAGATGAGATTGGCGAGACTTACTTATGCTGCCGAAAAACTGACTTAGAGGACGTGGTCGAATTGATGCTAGCCGAATTGCCCGAGATATCAAGCGGCCTTACAACAGACAAACATCGCATCCAACGAGCCCTGCTTGAAATAATTGCTATACGGCTGGCGAACTCGAAGGAGTCTGTACAGGACTACATTCGGAAGACGCTACTGCATCTCTCTAATGATGCTGATGTTATTCAGGGCCACGTTGATACCGGTCTCAACGATTTGGGCACTATGGGATTCATCCAATACGAAGACTCCGATCTATATGTTGCAACACAACTAGGCAAAGCAGTCGTTGCATCCTCACTTGAGCCCGAGGACGGCGCATTCGTTAACCGCGAGATGCGCAGAGCATCGAAGGCTTTCGTCATGGACGGCGAAATGCACGTCCTCTACACCTTCACCCCAGTACAGGACTTCTCTGTGTCTATCAACTGGCAGGTCTTCCGGTCAGAGATGGAAGGCCTTGACGACAGCGGGCTCCGCGTCATGACTTTTCTCGGCCTCAAGCCCACAGTGGTCAACAGAATGTAGGCTGCGGGTATCCCCCTGGAAAGACAAACCGTCTGAACTAACACGTCACAGGGCGCAAGGTGGGAGCCTCAAAGAATCGACCGCCGAGGAGAAAGAACTCGCTCGAGTCTATCATAGGTTCTACCTAGCCCTTCAGTTACGAGACTTGTGCAACGAAATGCCCGTCCATGCAATTGCTCGCAAATACGACATGCCACGTGGTACAGTACAGACACTCGCCCAGACTTGTCAGGGCTTTGGGGCTGGCATGATCAAATTCTGCGAACAGATGGGATGGGGGTAAGTTATTGCAGAGTTTCGATGACGCGTGTCGCCGTTTCTTCCCAAAGCGTGACCTGTAGCTAATCGTGAGCAGTGCGATGTCAGCTATCCTGGACCACTTCTCGGACAGGCTCAAGGCTGGAGCCAAAGCCGATTTGCTAGCCCTCGCAAGAATTACCTTCATCAAGAGCCGGACAGCGCGAGTATTCTATGACAACGGATATAAAACCATTGCATCGATTGCAAATGCCGACCCTAAGGAGTTGGTGCCTATCCTCATGCAGGTGGGTTTGCTCTACTCGTCTTGAACACCCGGCAACTGATACGTACTCTAGGCTCAACCGACCAAGTTGCGACTTAAATCGAAAGATGAGCAGAAATATGAGGAGAAGCTCTTCGCAAAGGCTCAAGTCATCACCGACTCGGCGAATAGACTGTGGCAGATCGAGATGCAGCAGGACATTGATGAGCAATGAACAAGTGCAGAGCCACACGAACCCCTCCCGTTCTCAAGGGTCTGCTCAGCTCAGGAGCTGAGGTAAATTACCCATAGCCCCCGACTCGAGTATGACGCCGATTTCCAATTTGGCCAAACCCTCAGCGCCACAGGCCTTCCACTATTGCATACAGTATGTGCTGGCGTTGCCCAGACTGTTGGTCCCGAGCTGGATGGTGCGTTGTATCCACGCTGGGTTAAGAAACCAAAAGAGACCCGAACATTAGTCTCAGTCTCACCAACTCTTCGCGAGCAAGAAGCTGCTACTGTCGAAGTCTTGCTACGTGTTGACGGGGGCCGCTATGACGTATAACTTGGGTATGGTGCATCGTTCGAAGTTGTATATAGAGCTGCAGTTACCCTCGGCCCAACGGTGTGACGTGGACCGAACTCGGAATAATACGATCTTCGCTTGTCGTGGTATTTCCCTGGCTACCTCCTGCATGTGAGCCCGTTTCCCCAAATTCTCCACCACTTACCCCCAGCACTATCGTCGTCGGGTAATAGGTATGAAAGTTGAGCCATGGTAGATACCCCAGGCTAGAAGGGGGCCTCGCATTATATGGCATGGATGCGATCAAGTGCGGGGATATATAAGTTATAGAGACGTGATACATCCCAGCTGTCAAGGCGGCAGACAGCTTGACGAGAGTGTACGCTGCCCTATTCGCGATGTATGCCTCGTGCCCAGGCTTGCTATGGCTCTTCCTCGGTTTCGGAGGACTCAGTCGAGCCCAGGATCTCACCGTAAGCCTCGACTACGGCACCTTTCAAGGAGCCTATGTTTCGTCGTACAACATATCGTACTGGCAGAAGATACCGTTTGCCGCGCCGCCGGTTGGCGAGAATAGGTGAATGACCCCGCGGCCTCACCATCCGTCATCGGCGTCCGAACATCCATAATGACAACGTGAGTTCGTGCACACAGGTTTCGCGCGCCGCAGCCGCCGACGGCTATCACCAATGGGACGTATAATTCGAGTCAGACGTTCGACATGTGTCCGCAGAGAACGGTCAGGGCTATCATGACTCCAAGCACTACTAAGGAAGCCCATCCTGATAACCATAACCGGCACAGGTCAACGGTTCTGAGGACTGCCTCTACCTCGGCCTCTACAGCCGCCCCTGGACACGCACGTCCACAACATCCCCCCAAAACCTTCGCCCCGTCATCGTGGCCTTCTTCGGCGGCGGCTTCATCCAGGGCTCCGCCGCCTTTGGGATCCCGCCGTCCGCGTACCCGATCCTCAACGCGTCTACCGCCACGGATTTAGTGTTTGTGTATGCCAACTACCGCACGAATGCGTTTGGGTTCCTGCCCGGCCGGCAGGTGATGTTAGGTGCCGGGTCTGATGCTAATGCGGGCCTACGCGACCAGGAGGCCGTGCTGCGCTGGGTGAGGCGGTATGGGGAGGCGTTTGGGGGCGATGCGGGAAAGGTGACGGTTTGGGGGCAGTCGGCTGGGGGTGGGAGTGTGTTGGCGCAGGTGGTGGCGGCGAGGGGGCGGGAGGCAAGGGGGCGGGAGGGTGAAAGTGAAAGAGATGAGGAAGAGCAACCCCTGTTCCACAGCGCGCTGGCTTCAAGTCCGTTCTGGCCCAAGACGTACGACGTCGACGCGCCGGAGGCGCAGTGGCGGTACGACATGCTGGCGAACCTGACCAGGTGCGGCGGGGCTGGCAGTCTCAAGTGTCTGAAGAGCGTGGATGTGCAGACGATTCGCGACGCGAGCTTGGTTATTGCTGCTAGTCATCAGTATACTACTTCGACGTTTGAGTGGGGGCCTGTTGTTGATGGGACGTTCATGCGGGAACCCCTTTCTGCGGTGACGGCGGAGGGGCGGGGAGGGGGGAGTGTCGTGGATGGGTTTGCTATGTACAACACCCACGAGGGCGAGAGCTTCCTGCCGGCCGGGCTGAAGAGCAGCACGGATGTCGGGACGCCGGCGTTCAACTCGTCGGCGGCTTCGTTTGATGTGTGGTTGAGGGGCTATCTGCCGCGGTTTGGCGAGGAGGACTATGTAAGGCTCAAAGAGCTGTATCCTGCGGCGGGCAGTTCGGAAGCGATATTGAGTTACAATGACGGGTATACCCGCGCTGGCCTGGTATACCGCGACTCGGTGCTGGCTTGTCCGGGGCATTGGATGGCGGGCAGTGCGGCGGAGGGGGGCTGGATGGGGGAGTATACGATTTCGCCTGCACTGCATGCTTCGGATGTTTACTGGGTTAGTGAGGCGCGTGGATCTCCTGATGACTGACTGTATTACTGACTGGTGAGGTAGTGGAACACGGTCAATGCTGCGCAACATACGGATCCTTTGCACTATAAGGGGTACGCAGGTGAGTTTGCACGGCTGACACCATAGGCTGCGTGGTGAACGCTGACGGTGGTCATTATAGGGGCCATGGCTTCGTTCTTCATGACGGGAGATCCCAACGCTCTGAAGCTGACTGCAGAGAACGTTTCTGCTGTACCATCCCTCGAGACGGGTACAGAATGGACCATCAATAGTGCTGGTTTCACGACTAGTAGACCTGGCCAGTTTAAGGAGAGGTGCGATTTCTGGAGAACAGTGGCACCAAAGGTACCGATATAAGACAACGGGAGTAAGATTGAAGCAATGCAGATATGTACCCAATCTGATGGTTGGCTGACTGTCCTGGGACGTACGACAAATGTACTACCTGATTTCTCTCCTATTTGAGAACTACTGCCACTACCATCATGGCCGAAGCGAATAATGTGTATGCTAAGAAGGCAGCCAAACCCCCTCGTGGTGGTTGGCATCAACCAATATGACATGTTATGTTTCGAGGCTTGAGGTATGCTACACTGAACCTCCAAAAGTCTCCGTACACCCCTCGGTCAGTCAGCGAGGAGGCACATCTATTATCAATGGAATAAGCACTCCGGAATAAGCACTCCGGAATAAGCATCAAGTATGGCTCATCGCGTTGGACCTGCTTATTCCAGGGCGCTTATTCTATTAATACAAATGTAACACTGGTATTGAAGAGTTGACAAGAGCATGACGGACGGAGACTTACATGTATGAGGGGTGACTGTACATTCCTGTGTGAGCCCACCTGGTGCAGATTCTTCTATTTCTTCCGATGGCAGGGGCAAGGACGATAACAAGGACGATAACAAGGACAAGGGGATGGACATCGACATGGACACGAATGCGGAGATGGAGATGAAGGTCTGGGTGCTGGAGGTCGTCATACTCCAGTAACATCATCTGATCTTAATTGGATCATGGTGTGGAAAGAGGCTTCCTTTTTGCACTGATTCTATTTCTGACATTGTATGTTTATTATGCCATGACCGCATCATGCCTGTGCCTCGTCACCAGATTCACCTAATCGATAGTATCATCTCTCAGTGCGAGTAACTGCGGGATGACGTCTTCGGCCCTGGCTCTCAAAGCGTTGTGGAAAAGCACATTCGTCTCGAACACCTTGATGCCCTTGATCCTAGTTGCAGTCACGCGAGCATTGTCTATGTCCACGTACATGTCGTTGTAACTGGCGGCGTAGACGGGGACCTCGTTCTTCCCCAGCTGCTCGATGTCGTACAGCGGTTCCCATGCGTCGTACTCGGCCAGTATCTGGGCCGTCTCCTTGAGCTTGATGAGCTCGGCGCAGGTCTCAAAGAGGAAGGGATAGATCATCTCGCCCGAGAAGCAGAGTGGCTTGTCCCCGAGGCTTGCGGGACCAGACCAGTCTTTTCGGAGCCACTGGAACTCGTCAAGGCTTTTACCAACGCGTTCAGCGGCCCAATTCCCGGCTACCCCTGGGCCGTAGCACCAGCATGGCTCATGAAGTAGTGAATAGATTGGGGCGATGTCCCAACTGTCCTGCTCTAGCGTGTTGAGGGTGAATCGAGTGAAGACGCCGAACTGATCCAGTTCCCCCTTCATTCTCAAAATGACGTTGTGAACAGTGTCAATGCCGCCATGCATTCCCAGACTCAAGCCGAGGGTCATCAGTCGCTGGACGGTCAAGAAACCGCCAGCTGGCAGGGGGATCCCTGTGTCGCCGCCCATGTCCCGAATCTTGTCGGCAAGCCATTTCACTGTCGCGATATCCTCGGGGTACTTCTTGTAATATGCGCTGTTTCGCTCCATTACCTTTCGGTAGGTAGACTGGTACACCTCCTCTGGGCCTTTGTCCAGAGCGGCAAGGCCTCCGGTGATGAAGCATTCTCGGAGACCTTCCGGTGCGAGTGAGAGGTACGTCAGAGTCATCAGGCCTCCGAACGACTGGCCAAAGGTGGACCACTTCTTCTTTTCCGGTGGGTAGTCTTTGGTGAGACAAAGCCGAACAGCCTCGCTATCCCTGACGAGAGTGTCTGCTCTGAAATGCTTGAGGTAGTCGGCTTGCTCCCGAGGACCGCCGACGATCTCCAACGTGTTGGCAGACACGGGACAGCTGAATCCCGTGCCTCTCTGGTCCAGCATGAGTAGCTCGTAACCTCGATCGAGCATATGCTTCGACAGAGGGCTGTCCTGCGGGGCCGGGGTACCAAAGCCTGGACCGCCCTGTAAGAAGACCAAGAAAGGTCTCTGGATGACCTCAGCCGGCGAGGATTCGACGACGGGCTTCTCATGTTTGACTGCGCTTCTCGCAAATAGCCTGACGGTCTTGGCATCTGGCTTTGAGTGGTCGAGCGGAACCTCGAACCAGAATTCTTTGACGAGCAGCTTTCCTATTGAACGAGTTAGTCGGCTATTCGACAAGTTGGCGGCACATGCACAGTTTAAGTATGACGATTCCTTTGAAACGACTGGACGAGGTAACAGATGCCCAAAGATCTTGATCCCCATCACTGATTCATATACGCTGAGTTGTGTGAAAACCAAAGCCTGAACGCCTTACTAACCTGGAACAACACGAGGCTTGCTCTCAGACACCAAGCGAGCGACCACCGGAGCCATGATGGGATTGGGTAGGTAATGCCTCTTACAAATTCCAATGAGATTAGGCTTGAAATAGCGCCGTGGACTTTGACGAGTGGACAAAAGCAGGGAATCATTCCTGGTCATGGGGGGTGGTGCAATGCAGCTTCTACTCAGACTGGTAGCCAAAGAGGAGTCCGGTCTACTATTGGCGAGAAGCAGTTGTGTATGTACATGTACCCTGCAGTCGACGCTGGCAGAATGGCAATTGGCCGAGCTGGGTAGCACCTACTGCAAAGCGATACGCTCCCTCGAAATATTAGGTAGGTAGTCAGCAGACAAACAGACAATCATTAATGACAAGGTAGTTGTTGGCATCTGCACATCACGTATCCGCTCAGCTTGGTAATGAAAGATACAGCAGCACGAGTGAAGTAGAAGAATGTAGCTCGATACATGCATAAATAGTGGAACAGGAAAACATAGAAGCTGCAAACGGGGTCGCCGGACCTTGTCGGAGTCAAAGATGGGCTCACATTTCTCACCACTCCACCACTCCACCACTCCACCATAAAACGCCTCTTCCTCTTCCTCTTCCATTCTCCTTCTCTTCCGCATCCTCCTGCACCCGACCAGCAGCAAACCTGGATGGATGTTTGCAGCAGGAATGAATACACAACTTCTCACCCAGACTTTGATCGAGTCATTCAATGCACTGGCTGATGAGGTTCAAAATCTGAGTGACCGACAGATCATATTGGAGCACAAGCTCCGATATGCTCACGAGCAGGTACGTCAACTACGCATTCGCTGGCCCCCTCCTCTACCTCTTCCCTCTGCGCCTTTCATGATGAGACACATTAGCTCTAGATCACGAGCTGCCTCTACGGCAGTGTTGACCGACAACCTACCTTGAAGTTACTGAACCTTGGCAACTCGACATCCATATGACAAATGATGTGCATTCTTTGAAGGTGTCACTAACATTTGCCGTTGCTACAGTTTCAATACCTGGCCGACAAGTATGCCCCGACTGCACCTGAGATATCGGAGACGCTGGTCAACCTTCAAGTCCCGCCTGAATTACACAATTCATCTTTAGCCAATACAAATTTTGTTCCTCTTCCTAAGCGTAAAGCTTCCGACTCCAAACATCAGATTGCCGTGATTATCCGAGAAGGCCGGCGCGTCGCCTCTTCTCTGACCGACTTTAGCAAGAGCAGCCGATCAAGCAGGAGTAGAGACAGTGTTCCCCCCACTACCATGACAACCATGTCCACCATCCTCGAGCAAGATTTCACCGTGGAGGGGAAGAAGGGCAATCTCGAATGTCCGTTCTCGCAGCTGAGCGGACAAGAGCAACAGGACAGTAGCCAGACGTATCATGTGGCAGCATCGGCGCATAACCCAGCCGATCCCATGTGTGTCTCCATGGACGACGACACGAGCTCGCAACACGCCGCAGCGAAATGCCCCATTCGCTACATGGATCAACACTCGCCTGAAGAAATTGCCAACTACCTGGAGAAACACAAGCATGAGTTGCCGAGAAGTCACGAAGTCTGCGTCCGACGGTACCAGAAGAACGAAGACCACATAAAGAAGCTTGACGCCAAGTATGGTAATTTGGCCAACATGGTTGAGGGACTCAGCCGGATACACCAGCCCATGTTACCGGAACAGGATACACGACCTCAAAGCGAAGTCGAGAGGGGGTCAAATGATCGAGTTGAGGACTGGGCCCAGACAGTCAGCGCTACTGTAGGGGACGATCCTGATCAAACTGCTCTACCTCATGACGAGGACGACGAGGATCGGCAGAACCATTTCGACCGTCCACTCAAGGAGGTGCGGGTGGGAGAGTCTCCTAGCCGACCCTGGGGCATCTCGGTACCGGTCTACTCGGATACTCCCTCTAGCAGAGGTGGTAATCTGCGTGAACGGCCAGGCTCTCCACCGCCAGCACCAGTTCATATGCCATCACATATACCAGAGACGGAGACGGAAACGCCAGTGAAGAAGACAGGGAAGTGTCCCTTCGACCACACCAAGTTGACCCCGATGATGCATCGGTCGATCCCTCCGAAGAACGGGCAGAGCACTACTAGGGATGCCGAACATTCAGCAAGCCCCCAACCTTTCTCTCCGGCACAGCATGCTCACCATCAACCGCCCAGCCAACCTCAACCAGCACAGCCTGCATACCTCACCGCAGCAGAGCCGTCCCACCCGAAGCAAGGAAACACTCCACAGATGGTGTTCACGGGCCCCGTGTTCATCGGCTACCCAGTCGAGCAAGCTATCCAGGTTATGCAGCATTTCCAGGCGCAGCAACAGCAGCAGCATCATCAGTAGTGAGAGAGACGCCATGTCTTTCTTGACGGACTGTGTGCGGTGTCAAGAGCGCGCGACCGTTAGGTTCTGAGGCCCTGGACTACCTATCTTAATACGGTAGTACCTTGTTGGAGGATTTTGATTATCACGATTGTTGTACGGGATACGTTTGTACTTTATGCCTTCAGAAGCCTTCGTCATGTCGTTGCATTTGCATTCAGTTCGGAGTTCTGGGAGTCATTTTCAAGCACCACGATACCCCCTTCTCCATAGTGAGGATGCTTGATGTACCCGAGCAGATACACGTGTATGCCATAAAATGCTAGTCCCAATGCTTTAAAATACATATTGACCGACGTATGAGGAAACCAGGACAACCGCTTTGAAAGACCTCTATTGTTGAACGCCCTGTGTCTATCCGTCCCTTTTCCTCTTTCGTGTCAAAACCTCTCTATTTTGATCCCGAGGTGGGGTATCGCCCGTCCGCATGCTCGTCCGAGAACGCCTGCGCACCAGTGCTGCCGTCGTCCTCATCCCGATACGCGTCATCGTCGTTATCCCACAACGACATATCATCATCGTCCATCAGCGCCGCGGCATCCGCCTCGCCGGCCCTCTCCTGCTGCCGCCCGCCCATGACGCCCTCCTCCAGATCCTCGTAGTTCAGATCATCGTCCTCGCCGGCGTCGGAGACAATGCCATTCCCGGCGGCCTCCTCGCGCGCGAGCTGCTTCGCCCGCGCCATTGTGCGGCGGTAGATGATAAGCCCGACGGCGATGCCGAGCGCGGAGCCGAGCAGCATGCTCAGGTAGTTGACGACCTTGTCGCCGAGCGACATGTCGTCGTCCTCGGCCAGCAGCGCCAGGCGGCTGCCGATGAAGACGTGGACGAGCAGCTTGGGGGTGGCGAGCGCGGTGGCGAGCGCGAAGCTCGCGGGCGACACGCTCGGGATCGTGGCGAGGAACCCGTTACTGAGGCTGTAGGGCAGCGGGCAGAACCGGATCGCCGCGAGCACCCAGAGCCCGTCGTGCCGCAGCACGTGGCCCAGCGCGACGAAGCGCTTGTCCTCGCCCACGAGGCGGTGGACGTATTTTGACAGCACAGTGCGCGAGGCCACGAACGAGGCCGTGGATCCGACCACCGTCGCGGCCGCCACGATGGGCCAGCCGCCCGGGAACCCGTACACTATACCGGCGATGGTGATGCAGCTACTGTACCCGATCATGGGCGGGAACGCCGCCAGAGACGTGATGAGGAACACCAAAATCCAGCCTCCGGGAAGCGCGCGCCACCCCTTGGCTACGGGCGCCAGCGCGCTGAAGATCTTGTGCGAGAAGACGAGGAAGACAATGCCGAGCGCGAGGGCCGCGACGCCGGCCACGATGGCCAGGACGCGCTGGACTGGCGTCAGGCTGTAGAATAGCTTCAGCAGCTTGTTTAGGATGGAGAGGCTCGTCTGTGTTATGCGCTGCCCGAGGGAGAGGTCCTCGTGTGTCGATGTCCGCGAGTATGGCGTCGACAGCCGTCGGGCGCTCCGTTGGTGGCTGTCGCTGTTGCGGTTGTTGCCCATGCCGCCGGGTCCCCGGCGCGGGGCCCGTACCCAGGGCGGTACCGGCCCATCGTCGTCGGCGTCGGCGGCGTCGTCGGTGTCGCCGGATGCTGCGGAGGGTCTCTTGGGCGAGGTGGATGTGGGCGGCGGAGACGTAGACGTAGACGGAGAAATAGGGAGCGAGAGCGCCTGCGCTGTGGAGGAGTAGTCGGCTGGCATTGTTCGGGGGTTCGTGGAGCTGTAGAGTTGTAGGGAGGATGCTGGGTTGAGCTAAGGTATCGGCCGCGTGGTCGGAACGGGAAGAGAAGGGAGCCAGGGCGGATGAAGCCCGGTGACGCAGTAGGTACGGTAGGTATTCCGTATATCGAAAGCGACCCAGTCGGAGAGGGTAGGAGGTGCCGGGCACGTCAAAAGGTCGAATTGGGAGATGGTACAGTTTGCTGTTCGCTGGGTTGAATTGCTTGAATGTCGTCCTACCTCTCCATGTTGGCTGAAGGACAGGTTGGCGGAGATGACGGAATCCTCCGTTGTGCAACAGGGTTTAAGGTCGGTGGTGTACGTACGGTAGTTGGATAAAGTCAGGAGAGAAGGGTTCGGCTTACGGTTATTTTGAGGCGATGTTGTTTGACGGAGGTGACGGAGCGGACGGAGCGGACGGAGCGGCTGAGAACTCCATACCTCATAGGTGTATGTAATCAGTGCGCTTTGTGGTTCTCTACCGGTAGTAGGCTGGTAGGATGACCTCAGCCACGAAGGAGCAACACTGTATGCACAAAAGCGACGGCGCTATGCAGATCCATCTACTTGCTTGGTACATTGGGAATATCTAGTGCATTGCATCATGCCGACTAGGTGCATGTAGGAGGTTTGGACCGACGCGGCGTCGTCAGTTGTTCCCGCGGCGGTAGGCCGACAGGCGGGCGCATCACGCACCGAATCCAACCAAGACATTATACTTCCATCAAGCACAAAGCTGTCTAGAGTCAAGTTTTACTTCTTATTAACCTCGTGGCTCACTCTGCCTAGTTGTCACCGGCTTCTATTGCCACTAGGCCCTTTAGGAGGATCTCTCACAAGAAGCCTCACCTTGCCATCCCCAATCTCAACCCCTTGACTAAGGATATTGACCTCCTCCCTGGGCTCTGCCTCCTCCTTCGACGGCTCTCTAGCCAGCGACTTGTCCCAGCTTCGGGCGTCGACGCCGAGGATTCCGCCCATACTGTTGCGGTCTCCCGGAACCGAGAATTCGCGGTAGGCATACCTCCACTCGTTGAGGAAGTTCCTGATCGCCTTGCCCACCTTGTCCTTCCCATTCTTGCTGTGATGACCTGTTCCGGTGATAGCGTAAACAGGTCTGCTTTCCTTGCTGTTATCCAATAGTACTCGCTCCAAATACTCCACTGCCTCTTCCGGATGCAGGCCGTGGAGGTCTACGTAGATGTCCAAGCTCATTCCGCCGTGCTTGTTACGTTCCTCATATAGCTCGCGCGCGGCTTCGCGGTGGGCTTTTCGCATGAGGTCGTTCTCACTTTGACCTCTGAGGCTGAGCGCCTTGGCCGCTCGAGCATCGTTACGATTCCACGCTTGTGCAGCACTGTATATTTGTCAGCTCCTGATCAATATAGTCTTCTCCGGATTGACTTTACCTTTGGAGAAACTTGTTGCGGAGCCCACCATGCTTGATAGCCTCTTGGCGCGCCTTCAGGTAGTTCTTGTTGGCCCTGTCTCCAGTCTCTAACCATGGTATATGCTTGGGCATAGGGATAGCCTGGGCCGCTGCGCTATTTTCCCCGTTCCGAATGTTTGTTGCACTCCCATTTCGACCAAGCTTCTTTGAGTCCTGACGGTTGGATCCCGGAGTGGGAGATGGTGACATCTTGACAATATCGGCCAGAGAACTCGGCGCGAAATTGTCTTTATGGCCGTGGCCGTGCCCACCACGTTTGCCATGATGCTTCTTATTGGACTTGGAAGAAGCAGATCCGAGAGAAGGGAACGCATCGTTATCGTCCATCGAGGGCGCACTCATGCCGTCTTTTGTCTGATGGCGGCTTCCCGGACGAGAACGCGGATGGGGTCCATCATTACCTACATAACCATGCATAGGCTTAAGGCCTGGGGGCGGTGTGAGGCCTGCACCCGTGTAGTTGAAGCTTGCGGCGAAGGGATTAAGATCTGGGGTTCCTGGGCGCAGCGCCGGGAAGGCGCTGGCATCTTGTACCTGGAGACTCTTCTGTGGCGGAGTACTGCTGCCATCTACAGTGAGTCTGTTCATCAGATGAGCTGGATCATGAGAGAAAATGCACGTATCGCCGGCTAAGCAGTTGCCCATAACCCAGTACCTGAGTATTATCAGCACTGCGCACTCCCTTCGTGACGCACCCTCGACTTACTTGCAGATGTGATTGCTCAGATCATGGCTGAACCGGCAGTCTGCTCGTAGACATTGTCCAGTAGACAAGTAGAACTTGCAGATGATGCCTGCTTTCTGCTGCGCTGAGGGCGTACTGGGTCTCGCATCTGGTGTCATGGACTTGCCAATCAGAATACCCTTGGCTTCGGGGGTGAGTGCGGCCACGTTGGTTGAATCCTGCCCCTGGCCGTCCATAATGGCTGCGATGGTTGCGCTAAGATCATAGCCATGCATGGCGAGAGCTGCTTCAATCTCCTCATCCGTCTTGGATTGTCCCAGTATCGAGCGCAGCATGTCATAAGGTGTCATGTCCGACTGCTGGGAGGACACATACTCGGGCGCAGCGGCGTTTAAGCCGCTCAGGGTCCCGGTTGAGGAAGAGGCACTGAGCGCGTCCTCGCTCACGAGCCACTCGACATTCTCGGTCTGGAAATCACCGAATATTTCTTGCGCGGGACTGGTATCACTTGCGAACTCGTATGCATTAAGACTCGGACTATTCGGGATCACGGGGGCGGCGAAAGCAAGGCGCGGAGAAGGTCGCGGCGACGAAAAGGGCGAGACGGTGGACGACTTGGTCCTGCTGAGGTTGGTCGGGACGAAGCCGGGGGGAGCCAGCGGGCTTACTCCCAAGCGAGGTGAGCCGGACACTGTTGGCGTTGCGGAACCTCGCCACGAAGCTGGAGATGGTCGGCGGAGGATGGTTTGTCGTATCGGCGGTGGGGAGGAAGCGCTCCCGCCCACTTCACGATGTCGCCATAGCACGTCCAGTACGGCGTTCTGCAGCGACAAACCGTGCAGAGGGGTCTCCTTCTTCAAGAGTTCCACCAGCCTGTCTGTCTTGTCCTCGTCGTCGATACTCGGATCCTGCAGAATGGGAAGGCATATTTCGTATGTCTCGTCTGAGACCATGATTACGCGGCTCGGCGGTAGCGTTTATCGTATATTACCGGAAGTAAGACGGGCAAGTCGGCGAATGTGAATACGGCGGAACGCTGAGTGTCCAGCAATCATGCCGCGTAGGAATGGAGTCGAGGGGGCGGGCTGACGTCAAGGAAGCATATATGGGGGTTTCAAGTAGCGGATTCGAAGAATGAAGGGAGGACGGACTCGGAGTGGGCGCGGAGTGTTAACTGAAGGATGAGTGCCACAGGTAATAGGCGACTACTCGCATCATATCATGCAGATGCCGTGAAACAAGAAACAAGAAACAAGCGACAAGAAGGACGAGGAGAGGTGTGCGTAAGGTAGCCTCTCGGGTGTTCAGAGTTCAGCTCGGTGCCACCCAAGTTCCAACTGGACTCAAGCTGTACGTTCGCGGAAATAGGAGGGAGAGCCTTGGGCGAGCGATGGACTGGCGCTGGGCAGTGGGTGGGGATGGTTGATGCAATCGAGTGGGGGGCACCGAGGGCACTGACTGTCCACTAGGTAGTTCAACTGTTCACTGTTCACTGTTCAGGTGGGCGTTGGGCGGGACCCACCACAGTATACCTAGGGTACCTGCCGTACGGGTAGCTTTTAGGGGCTCTGCAGATAGGTAGGTACCTACATGTATACATGTATACCTTACCCTACAGTCCAACATTGGAACTGCCTCACTCCGTCTGATGTTACGTATAGATACATGATGGATACGCCCTCAACATGAGCACTTCCAAACCGAAACGCGCAGTTCCCTCCCTTGTTGGTTGGAGCACCCGCGGCCGTCAGCTTGGACAAAGTGAGGCGATGCGATGTGTAGCATCTCACTCTCTTGCTGCGCCTACTTCGTTCCGGAAACGGCCAATTTTGCCAGTCAGCCCGCCAAGTAGTACTACCGTTGCAAGCCATCTGCATCCCAGCAGATGTTGCGTGTGTTGCCAACCTGTAACATTTCAACCTGTTCATGCCGAATGCGGCCCCATTGCTTTCTCAGCTATATCGACCCTCAAAGTCTCTGTGCCCATGGTCGCCCTGAAGTTTTGGAGGTATTGTTCATCGGTGGGAGAAGCATGCTGAAACAAGCATTGAAGTAGCTTTTATAAGACAACCTGCTGATTCCAGGGTGTTTATTCCAAACAATACATCCGTACATTGAAACTGTATTAAGGTGCACAACAGAGACGTATGAGGAGTGATTGTTCCTCAGCCGAAAACATGAATGCGCATTCGGCTTGCTTCCGTCGTGCCCTTCTCCTAGGGTATATCCTCCTCTTCCTCGTCTGCGAAGCCAAAGCTGAAACCCCCATTTCCACTTTCCGCCTCATTTTTGCTGCCGACTGCCTCATCCCATTTCCGCTTCTTGGTCTGACTCCTCAGGGACATTTCCTCGGTCGATTCGTCGAGAAGCTGCGGATAGTTGGCCCTAAGCCGCTCCACGAACAGGTCATAGGGGCTCTCGATGCCCCTCTTGAATCCAGTGACTTGCTCCGGTTTGTCTTTGAGGAAGCAGAGAACATCCGTGAGGTGAGACTTGGGCACAAAGTTTTGTGTGAGAGCTATGCCAGCTTCTAGGTTTACAACCAAATGCCACCAGCCGCTAGGAACATGCAGGATCTCGCCCGCGCTGCAGACACCTTCAACACAGGTAGGAAGCGCTCGCGCCTCGGAGTGAAACTCGAGCAGCCATTCGGCTATGCTGAGCGGGCTGGTCACCTCGCTGCTATCCTCTGAGACATACACGCCGGGAACTTGCGTCGACGGAGGGAACATAATCCAGTATTTCGAGCCTTGGATCACCGCATTCCACGCGCTTGTGCCGTTCGGGTCTTTGTGAAAAGTCGAACCACTCCTCTCGGGACCGACAATGAGCCAGCGGTGGGCTGGTCGCTCTGCACCGAGTAGCTCGAACAAGTCGGGACCAAAGCAGTCAGGTAGCCAATATGTCGATAGTTCACTCTGTCCGATCTCGATATTCATCTTCTCCGCGAATCCTCGATCGAACAGGTACAGCGGGCTCTCATCGTTGCTGTTGAGCATGTATTCGTGGTAAGTCGAGAATGGCCAGTCCACCGCTTCGGCTCGGAATTGCACATCAGAATACCTCCTGTGAAACTCCTGAATGCTCCAGTCACGAAATGCTGGCCAAGATTGAATGCATTCAGTCAGTATGAATGGCTTGTTGCTCCAGCTCTGCGCGAACTCGTCGTAGCTGAGCCTTTCGAGCCGGTCGATATCGTTTGCCTCTGGGATGCTGGACGAGTATTTGCCCAAAGCAACGTGGACACAAGCAAAAGGCCGGTGCAGCACATCTGAGAAGACGTTGCTGCAATCAAGCCTCGCCTGCTGCTCGGGAGCTATGTTCAGATGGGTGCTTCGCCAGGAGCCCTTCCAACAGGGCTTTCCAGGGTTTGTGCTTTGTTCTCTATGGGTGAGTCAGTCAAATGGGTTGTCATAGCAGTATCATAGCAGATGTATCGCGTAGGTAGACGGTTGAGGGGGCCATCTCTATAGAGCCTCCTGACTCAGTCGCTCGTGAGATTCGAGTCACAGGAAAAGGGGAGACTATGCACCTCGCCTCTTGCATGAACTTTGTCTGGAGGACAGGATGACATCAGTAGCATATTGCAGCAAATTGACTCACTCAAGAAATAGGGTTTTCCACAAGTCATCCAAGTGGCTGAAGGCGAATAAAAATCGGCATGTGAATCCAATGTTCCTTAGTGACTGCGTATCGAGGTATTCAAACAGGTGCAAGATCATCTCATCCGGCAAGAGACCCATGGAACCTAGAGACTGTCGAGCAACTGGGCCCGACGCGAAGTACTGGTTTCCCAAAGGTTTGATGCCCATGGGATGAGTCGGAATAGAGTCCTCCATTGTCGTGGTCTCTAGGGTATCCAATGCGCTGTCATCTTGTATGGTTGCGCCTCTACTGGCCCCTCCATGGACGACTTCCTTCACAAACAACATGGCAAGCAGGTCGCGTGCTAGTTGCGAGGCGGCAATAGAGATAGAGGCAGGGTGCGACAAAGTTGAATGATATGACTCTTCGACAACAAGAGATCAATACCCCCAGCCAGGGTCAACGAATCGGAGAATAAGCTTGCCGCCTCTGAGCCAATTTATATAGAAAATGTGCTGGAAATGACAATTATCGTGACCAATCTCGCAAGCCACTCAGAGCAACGGTGTTGGTGCCAGGGAGCATGCAGAATGAAGCAAATGTTTATTATTGTTCCTCAGGCAGTGTTTTTAATAGGTGGGACAATGCGCTGTACGCTGGCTGACGGTGGCGTGAATAGGCCCTCAGTGGCCCTGAACCTTGAGCCCATTGAGCTGGAGCTGAGCTGTGGCCCCGCCTAAAGGTTTCTCCGGAGTTTTCCCCCCACTCAAATTTTTTACTACATCTTTACCTCAAGGGACCCTCCTCCTCCCCTCCGACTCTCCCAATCGTCCCAGATTAATCTGCACCACGAATACCAATCTACAACCTCCTCTCGGACCGTATCACTCTCACACAGTTGGGAGTCTTACGTCCATTCACTTCTCATCCTTACGTTATTCGCTAGACTTGCCATCGTGCAAAGGTCTGCGCATCTTTTCGGTTCAACCCCACCTCGACCGACGCTCATTCTTCTTGGATTCTAAGCTGTGCTTGGAATTCGGGGAGTAGCTTAACCTACCGCAATCATGGCTACCGACAAGGGGCTTGAGGACATCGAGCAGTCCCAGATCGAGTCTAACTATGACGAGACCGTCGACTCGTTCGACGAGATGAACCTCCGCTCCGAGTTGCTGCGAGGTAAGATGCGCCACCACGAAGAAGAAAATTTTGCGCGAAGGGACGAGCAAGGAAAATTTGTATCTTTGCTGACGAAATGACTTCGCAGGTGTCTACGCGTACGGTTTCGAGCGCCCCTCTGCTATCCAGCAGCGCGCCATCATGCCAGTCATCAAGGGTACGCTTCCGTCCATGCTTTTCTACAACGCAATCCCCGCATAATATTTACTTGAGGCGACAGGTCACGATGTTATCGCGCAGGCCCAGTCTGGTACCGGCAAGACCGCGACGTTCTCCATCTCTGTCCTCCAGAAGATCGACCCCGCCGTGAAGCAATGCCAAGCTCTGATTCTGGCTCCTACCCGCGAGCTTGCGCAGCAGATTCAGAAGGTCGTTGTCGCCATCGGTGACTTCATGAACATCGAGTGCCATGCCTGCATCGGTGGAACCAGTGTCCGTGAGGACATGAAGGCTTTGCAGGATGGACCTCAGGTCGTTGTCGGCACGCCTGGTCGTGTCCAGGACATGATCCAGCGACGATTCCTCAAGACTGACGGCATGAAGATGTTTGTTCTCGACGAGGCTGACGAGATGCTTTCCGTAAGTGCTTGTTCTCTATGTATGTATTCGAGTTGCTGTATCACTAACATGCCCCTCTCTTCAGCGCGGTTTTACCGAACAGATCTACGACATCTTCCAACTGCTCCCCCAGTCGACCCAGGTGGTTCTGCTTTCGGCCACCATGCCCCAGGATGTCTTGGAGGTCACTACCAAGTTCATGCGCGAGCCTGTGCGCATTCTGGTGAAGAAGGACGAACTTACCCTCGAGGGTATCAAACAATTCTACATTGCTGTTGAGAAGGAGGAATGGAAGCTCGACACACTTTCCGACCTCTACGAAACCGTCACCATCACCCAGGCTGTCATCTTCTGCAACACCCGCAGAAAGGTTGATTGGCTTACCGACAAGCTGACTGCCCGTGACTTTACTGTCTCTGCCATGCACGGCGATATGGACCAGTCGCAGCGCGACCTTATCATGAAGGAGTTCCGCTCGGGTTCTTCTCGTGTTCTGATCGCCACCGATCTGCTCGCCCGCGGTATCGATGTTCAGCAGGTGTCCCTGGTTATCAACTACGATCTCCCCGCCAACCGCGAAAACTACATCCACCGCATCGGTCGCGGCGGCCGATTCGGCCGAAAGGGTGTGGCTATCAACTTTGTCACGGCCGAGGACGTGCGCATGATGAGAGAAATCGAGCAGTTCTACAGCACCCAGATTGAGGAGATGCCGATGAACGTGGCCGACCTCATCTAAGCTAAGACCCCTTCTCACAGCACGCACGACTGCCGATCCAGCCAGCTCTGCATACATCGCGTGTCTTTTGACATTTCAGTTTAGGGAATCTGGGATTAGATAGACCGGCGGTCGTGTTTGGCCGGGGCGGCGAGCTATCTGCTTGCTAGCATGGGCAGTCATGCGGTGTCTGGCGGCGGAAGAAAAGTAATGGATGCATCTGGGCATTTGCGGCTAGGTACTAGCACCTAATCTCACAGATGGTGCACTTTGACTGATGACAGTAGTCGTCGGTGAATCTTCTCGTTTGCTTTCCTCAGCTGTTTGTACCTACATAGGCAATCCGATATTTCCTAAACAAATCTTGCAACGTAATCCGAATTTGATGAATTGTGATGCTAATGGTGTCTTCTGTGAGACTATTTCGGGGTTGAGCAATGGTGGTTTGGCTAGGAGGCCTACACCTTTTGGAAGTTGTGTACGGAATTTGGTAAGCACCTACCAACAAGCACACGCACTTACCTCATTGACACACATTGCGGGTCGATAGCATGTACAACGAGTAGATGGCTTCAAGGTTGTCATCTTCCCCTACATAAGGTAGGTGCAGACTGAAGATTATGGACAAGGGCCGCAGTGGACTGGTAGTCCGGAGGGAAAGAGCCTCCAAGACGATGTCAGAATTTGCCGCGTGCACGCCTTCCTTCTTTCCTTCCTTTCGCAGCTGCAATGGACCTTGTGGTCACCACCTATGCTCGCCGAGTGCATCATCTTCCTGCGCACCCGCACTTCTCATCACTCCCAACTCGGACTCTTCAACACCTCATCCCACCTCCCGTTCTCTCCGACGTCTTGTCTGACCTTGGTCTCCTGGACGTCTTGTCTGACCTCGGTCTCGGATTCGACCCTCCTGCAAGCTTGACCAAAGGGATCAGTCTGCAGTCTGCACTCCGTCAACACGTTACTCATTTGACCTCCCTGCTGCTTGCCTCTATTTCCAACAAGTATGGATCTGAGCGAAGACGAAGAGTCTCGCAGGCTGAGAAGGCGCGATGCGAAACGCGCGAACATCGAACATCTGCTACAAGCACCGAACAACCGCTCAGAGCTGAAGTCGCTGTTGCCTATTTTCACAGCACAAAGGGTTGAGGGGATTGTGCGTGACTTTGCCTCTCATGCGGCCGAAAATCAGCAACTACTGAATCGTGTCGACGCACATGATGCCTATCACCAAGAAATCTCCAAGGATTTGGAAGGGATCCACGCCGATTGCCAGAGTTTGGCTCCGCTGGTCTCGCAATGCCAGGTGTCGATTCAAACCCTGGACGCTAGCCTGGAGACCCTCGACAACCGTATGAGCGAAAAGAGTGCAAACGATGCCAAGCACGCGGCAGACTTGAAGAGCACCGACAAGGTGGTTCGCACACTCCATGAACAGGCCGACCATATGCAGAAGCAGCTCGACAAAGCCCACCATGATCAGGCCAAACTTTTAGATGCGGCAAAGATTGCCGACGCATCTTTAACTCGCTTGGATGCTAAGTTAGAAGACGCATCCAGAGAATTCAACAAGGTCTCCTCAGAGCTGAAGGCTGGAATGGCACAGACGGCGCGCGATTACGAGGGGGTGCACAAGTTTTTGCAACGCCTGCTCCCCATGGAGGAGCAGCTCTTCCAACTCCTGGATAAGCACGTTATGTCTGATGTCTCCACCGTTCCTGGTGAGTCCAGGCACCGTATATCTCATACGTCGGAAGTTGATACTAACTTGGAATGAAAAGAGCCTCCCACTCAGACCACGCCAGACATGGGTGATGAGCACGACGCCCCGACCAATATGGTTGTTGATCGCGACGCCCCGTCCAACGATGGTGATGAGAACGACGTCCCCGACATTCATGCCTTTAACGAGATATACGATGTCTATCGCAAGTCGTACAAAGAAAGGAAACCCAAAAGCGATGCCAAGTTCATCAAGTCGCTCCTACGAAACTGTGACCCCATCATCGCTCATTTGTGGCAAGAAGTGCTTCTACAATCCTTCCCCCATCGCGTGACGCTCGTCGAGCACGACTCGTTATATGCCCGCCGCCACGACGTTATCTTCACCAAGTTCGAAACTTTCAGCTGGAAACAATTTCAGGCGGCTCTGTACAAAATGGAATTGGTTGAAATGCAACGAGCAATAGATGAGGTGAAGGGTACTGTTCGCACACGCAAGAGACCAGCGCCACCCACACACTTGGAAGTTCCAACGAAAAAGTTCCGATCGGGAAGAGACACAGTCACGCAAACCTAATTGACCTAGAGGGGTTGGGGTTGGGATGCGGACAAAGGCAGCCTCGAGAGACAAATTTGCTCGGGTATGCGCACCTTGATGAATATTCTTTCAACTCCGTCTGGGAGATAACGCTACAATCCAACCCTAGCGGATCATATAGGGAGCGCGGGATATATCACAACTTGCTGACTGTAAGTGCGGAGCTTGAGTCATGGCTTGTAATTTTGGGGTCGTAGTAAGAAAAAGAGGTCGCGGAGAACATTTACTGCAACTGCTTTCATGATTTAATCACCGAGAGCTACTGTACTTAACCAACTATCCACGGAGTCATCTCAAACTGATATTTTCCGTGTCTTCTGACAGACCTGTCGTGTCAAGACCTGCCCACTTGTTGATCCAGCCTAGAACTTCTTTGTGCCAGACAAGCGAGTTCTCGGGCTTTAGCACCCACTAAAAAAGGAGGATAGGCGTGTTAGCTCTCGACATTCCCGGCTTTAGACAACTGTGGGCATATAAAGCAGTGGCTAATCAGGAATTGGGAAGGGAGCACACGCAACTACTCACATGATTCTCATCGGGGAACATCAGGAACCGGGAGGACACGCCGCGGGTCTGGAGGGCGTTGAAGGCGGCCAGGCCCTCAGCGATGGGCAGGCGGTAGTCGAGCTCGCTGTGGACGACGAGCTGGGGCGTGTCCCAGGCGGCGGCGAAGGCGGCGGGGTCCCACTTCTCGTAGCGCTCGCGGTGCTCCCACGGCGTGCCGCCCATCTCGCGGATGGGGAAGAAGAGCTCCTCGGTCGACCAGTCGCTCATGGTGCTGAAGATGCCGTCGTGGCAGACGAGGGCCTTGAACTGGCGGCCTAGGTGGTGGCCTTGGATCCAGTCTGTGAGTGTGTTAGTGTTTTGTTGGCTCTGGGTGGGTTATGATTGGGGTGAGGCTAAGGGATAACGAACAAGGGTAAGGGATGAGTGTAGGGGGTAAGGGGCAAGGCTAAAAGAGAAAGGAGAAGGGGGCAAAGGGCAATGGGCGGTGCCAGCAAGATAGGGCTTGGTGACAGAAATGGCTCACTGATCATGTAGCCGCCATACGAAGCCCCCAGGGCAACAGCATTACCAGTTTCAACATAAGGCAGTTTGTCAGCAATATGCTCGAAGCAGTTCACCAGGTCGTTGTAAGGCCGACCACCCCACTCAAGCGCTATGGCATCGGTAAGGTCCTGGCCGTACCCCGTGCTGCCGGTGGGGTTCGGCAGCACGACGACGTAGCCCTGCTCGGCGAAGATCGCGGGGTTCCACCGCGTGCTCCAGGAGTCGCCCCAGGCGCCCTGCGGTCCGCCGTGGATCAGGAAGGCCAGCGGGTAGTTTTTGTTGGGGTCGAAGTCGGACGGCTTCATGACGAGGGCGTGGCATTGGTAGTCGCCGGCGCCCTTGAACCAGAACTCGTCGAACTGCTTCTTGGACAGGCCGAAGGACTTGCCCTCCTTCGAGCTCGAGGAGACCAGCGTCGTCTTTTTCGAGGACGGCTCGACAATTGAGTAGTTTGAGCTGTCGATCAGCGAGCTGGACGTGACGAAGAGCCGGTCGTCGTTACTTGATAGGTTGAAGAACTCCCCGGCCGTGCCGCTTTCCGTCACTTGTTGCGGTAGCTCCTTGGCTTGTAAGGGGCTCGAGGGCAGCTTGAACAGCAGTGCCCGTCCGGCTTTCTCGGCCGTGACGTAGAGTTCCGAATCGTCATTGCTCCAGATGATGTCCTCCGGCCGCATGTCCTCCGGCCGCATGTCCCAGGCCCCCTCGCCGTCGTCCGTCTGGTAGAACTCCTGCACGTTGCTCAGGTCCTTGACGTCCGGTACCAGCATCAACGCCACTTGTCAGACTCGTATTGGTTGTGTCGCATGCGCTTGAACGCGATCTTCGTCCCGTCATGCGAGAAACTGGAATCCCCGTGTACCCCTGGAGCTTGCCCGTCTTGACGATCTGTGGAACAGGCGGCTCCTCCTCGGTGAAGATCTCCAGTGGAACGTAGTACAGGTCCGTTTTCGTCCAAAGCGCCGGGTTCAGCTCCGGGTCCTTGGACAGAAACACCAGTCCCGTCTTACTGATATCAAAGTCGCCCGCACCTCCGAACGACGGGACAGGACACTCGAGCTTGGTGCCCGCCATAGCATTCACGAGACCCGACCCTTGAAAAGTGAATTTCCCCGAGCCGCCCTTCTTCAGGGCGCCGTAGAACACGGCGCTCTTCTGCTCCGCGACGTACGTATCCCAATGGCGGACGAAGAGGCTCGAGTATACCCTTGCGCTCGAGAGCGGCTTCTTCTCGTCCGTCGCGTCGTACATCTTGCCCGAGGCGGTAGTGGGTGCGGTGCAGGCGAAGGCGACGGTGCCATTGCCGATGTACTTTGCTTTCAGATTCGATATCGTGCTCTTGATGCCTTGGACGAGGTAAGGACTGTTGCGCAAGCACACACGCCATGTTAGTCGAATGCTTAACACATCCTCGATCACAACGAGAATAAGACGAGTTGCATGCTACGTACTCTGAGCCCGGCTTCGACGCATCGGCCACCATGAGAGAACTAGCAGAGTCGCCATCGCCCTTGTTGTTCACGAAGATGAACTCGTTCTCGGAGATCCAGGTCGGCTCGGTAAAGGCAGCGTTGTCGTAGAGGAGGGTCGAGCTGCCGCTCGCGATGTCGAGGATCTTGATCGAATAGGTTTTGGAATGCGATTCGAACGAGTATTGCGACACTACGAGTGTCCATTCGAAGTGTTTGAGCTTCGGTGGTGGATCAGAGCTATACCTATGTAGAGGGCGAGCTTGCCGGTGCAGTTGGGAACACCGGCACTACGGCGAGGGGCCGACAGGAGCACCTCCGGGGTGAACTTGGTTGCCATGACCGTCATGCTGAACGAGGGCCACTACCACGGCAGACTGGGTATCGAAGGAGTGATTGGTATGTATTTGATCGAATCTCGCGATGTCGAAGCTGGATATGATGAAGCTCTGGGAATCATCACCCCGCAGTGGGAACTCAAGCTGCATCTACATGTACCCCTCCGTCAAATTGGCAAACACCCGGATGGCCAGATAGACACCAGCAAGCACACGCGCGAAATGGCCCGGTCAGAAGTGGACTCCAATCGCTGTCATGTATCATATTGTATTCGTCTCTACACTATATCCTGAGTCTATGTCGAATAGGGGTATATCGACGCGCATGTGAAGAGTAACTACCTAGGTAGACCCCGTGCCTTGAGCCTTATATAACCGTCCCAGAAAACAGAAGCCAACCAGGCTGAACGCCAACACCTAGCCATGCGAGGAATGTGGTATGCGAAAAACCCGCCACTCGTACAATAGAGACGTAGTCACTTCCGCGACGCGCCAAAGTGCGTTCTAATCTTCTTGACCTCGCGCGAGTCCGTCTCGCTGTCCTCGACGTCGGCGTCCTTCTTCTTCTTTTTCTTATTGGGGGCCTTCTTGTCGGTCGTCGCTGACGTGGGCGTGGGCTGGTTGGATGCGCCGTCCTTGTCCTTGACGGCAAACGAGGTCGAGAGGGGCGTCGGCGCGCCCGGAGTCGAGGTCGCAGATGGGGGCTCAGCGTGCTCGGGCTGTCGCAAGCTTGGTCAGTACACCCCAATAAAGATGGAGGTTCCCGCTCGGTGGGTGACGCACATGAAACGCGTTGTAGGAGATGGACGATCGGGAGAAGACGCGGTTCTGGTCGAGCTGGCCGGCGCGCTTGCGTGACGACGTGTTGCTCGAGCTGCCCTTGATGTAGCCGTCGAAGCCGGTGATGATGTTGCCGTACGGTGTACTCTCGAGGTATTCCGTCTCCTTCTGGAGGATCGACTGCTCCTGCATCGCCTTTTGTAGCCTGCTTAGCAACGAGCCATCACTTGACCATTGATGCTACTGGCGCGACTTACCAATTGGCGCTCAAGGACCTTCCTGTTCTGAAGCAGCTCCTTCACGTATTGGCGCTGTTTCTCGTAGTGGGCTATGCCAGGCTGCTCGCCATTAGCACCGGAGCCCGGTGTCGCAGCTGGCTGGACGTTCTCAGCCATCGTGATGTCGGTTGCTGATGGTTGTGTACTTGGTATGTTCAGCAATCGGCACTTTGCACTTTGCACGTGGAAATAGAGATCCATCAAATGGGCTTGGCTGGCATAAATCTGGGGTAAGTGTGGGGTCGCCATGGCGGCTCCAATTAAATTTCACTGCACGCATCTCCAGTCTCTAGATCTCGTCACCCAAGCAGCTACGACTACAAACATTTGTCAAGGGGTTCTCTTCATGAGCTGGCAGGTTGAGCGATACCACTGAGGTCATTGTCTGCTATAGTACTACCGTGTCTGCCGAACGCTAAACTCATGAGCCGACAGCAGCGATTTTCAGAACTGACCTCGGGGTAATGCTACCACCAGGAGAAAGCCAAACTGCTTATCCACGCTGAATCATGTCTTGAAGGGATACTGAATCTGCGACTTGAGCAAGATTAGCGTCGCCTATCGACCAAGTTCACTGCTTGAGGTTCTTCTCATCTTCTTAATCTTTTCTTTCAGAAGCTTCTCTCGCAGCACGTTGGCCTGTTGTTGCGGAGTCTGGGTCTGACGAAAAGGGGTCAGCTCTCAATCTGAGCGCGTAGATAGTGAGAAACGGGGTGCTCTATCAAGAAGCACGAACCTCCTCGGCCGTCGAGGCCGCCTGGTGTTCCGGGGATCGATCTCTGTGTCTGTCTTCATCTTCCGAAACATCAGCTGGTCTGTCACGAGATCGGGGGGAGTCACAGGATGGTCTCCGTCTTCTCGAGCTGGTCCTTCTGTCAGGAGATTTGCTGTCTCCTCTACCTCTGCCTGGGCTCTTGCCACGGGATCGCTTGTGATCCTCTGGCGACACTGATGGGCTCAGGCTGCGAGTCGGTGACCGTCTCAGTCGTCCACGACGGTTGGGCGATGGACTGCGGCTAATGAGTTCGCGAACTGGTCGCTTTCTAGGGCTGCGGCTGCGACTTGGTGACCGAGAGTAGGACGACGAACGAGATCGACTCAGCCGACGGCTGTCCCTGCGAGGAGGGTACCTTGAGCGACTACGAGAGTCTGAGTATCTGCGTCTCTTTGGGGCTGGCGAGCGTGATCTGCTATCTTGGGAGTCGGACAAGCTACCAAGGGAAGAGCTGTTTCTTCTGCGATTGCTTCCGCGCCTGTCGCCCCTGCCCCGCCCGGGCGATCGCTCTCGCTTGGCCGAGTTTCTGTAGCGTGGTGGCGACCGATGTCCGCTAGAACGGTAGCGAGGTGGGCTGGCAGAGCGAGGGCTGGCCCGTCGGTTGCGGTTGTTGGAATCAATCGGTGATCGTGATCGTGAACGGGACACTGATCTCCGCGAATCAGGAGATGCGGAACGTGACGCAGAGCGGCCACGCCTAAAGTCTTGCCGCCCCCCGCGACGACCTTGGGGAACGTATCGGTCGCGATCTGCCTGGTATGAATCTCGCCTCGGGGGTGAACCACCACCTCGGCCGCCGCCACGCCCATATCCTCTGCCACGGTCTTCGAACCCTCTATCTCCGCCGCGTCTTCCACCACGCCAGTTGTCACCACGTCCACCGCGGAAGCCACGATCTCGTCGTTCTCGGTCTCGAATCTCGGTTATTTCGCGGTCACGACATTCCTGGTTCTCTCGACGCATTCGAATGTCTTCGGCGGCCTTGTCTGCATCAATCTAGAGGCTGTCAGCGAGAGGGACTTGTGCCAATTGTGCAGCGATTTGACGTACTTTCTCTTGAATGAGCTCGAGCTTCTTCGCTTCGAGGAGCTCCTTCGGAACACCCTGCGGGCTGGACTGGCCGCTCAAACATAGTTTCCAGAGCTCTTTACAGAATGGGGCGGTTTCTTTGTCGAGGAAGCCGGTGAGTTGGATTTGCATCGACTTGATGTCGGGCTGCAACGAGAACCGTCAATCAGGTTGGACATCTGCGGGGACGCGTAACGAGTGCACCTACATATCGGGGGCCCTCGATCAAGTTGAAGCACAGCTCAATCACGACGTCGTCCTCAGATCCTAGAATCTCGGAGATTCTGCTTGCGATCCATCTGTAGAATGTAGAGTCAGTAACCGAGTACTTTACGTCAGCGATAACGTGGTAGGCACCTACTTCTTGAGCACCTGCAGGTTGACCTTCTGCATGTCCACCTTTTGGTTGAACTCGGGTGGAAATTTGGTCGCTCGCAAGAGCTTCATGTCCACACTTGTCGCCATCTTGGGCTGGTGTTGTTAGCGAACAAGGCCGGGTCGTTCCTCCCGTGCGACGCGGTAAGAATGGTTTCAAAAACTTACGTTTGAGGAACAGGATCAGAGGCGGCTGCTTTTTGGAGATCTGGGGTCAGATACTCGGCGGACTGGGCAGCTGGGGAGATGAATTGCCAGCTGGTCGCTATGAGAGACCACATCCACCCCACCCTGGCATCACATGCATTTCTTCCCTTCCAATCTTGGGAATATTTGGGCAATATTATCGCCCATGAGCAGCGCACGACACACCAACAACCTCATTCATGTTATTTGGCTGCAGTGGTACAACAGGGAGTGAGCACATATGGCTTCATTGGGCAGTATGTCGGTGAGAAGCCGACAGTGCTCCTGCCCAATGCACGCAACCGAATGCCTAAGGCTTTCTTTGATCTAGGTACCGATTCGCGCAAAGGCTCATATGGAAATGCAGCAGCAGTGGGCGTGTGGCTCCTCAACCCATTTTCCAGCCACAATGACGGATGGGTCACGGACCAGGGTACAAGGTACCTTGGAGCCCAACTGGTACCCGTTTGTACCAGATTCGTACCCAACTGGGATGATAGCTACTTCTGGGATGGGGACACCACCCATCCCTTCTTTCAATCAAGCAACTTCCAGAATACAGACCAATAGCCACCATTCGTGACCCTGGTCCTTATTCTGGATACCGCTACCACAAGGCACAGGCGTACCATGAACATCCCGACTCTACTCGAACTTCGAGATACGTTTTGTGGCATTACAGGAGGTCATAACGGCGGGGCCATATAAATGGACACCCCCATATGTGGGACAGCTTTCACACTAAAAGGCTAGACTTCTACTTACCGATAACTCAATCGGAATTAAAGCTCTAGATAATCTGTATAATGCGTTTAAATCGCTTTTTAAAAAAGTTTCTAACTATATTATATGTTTTAACAGTAGCGCGCAAGCTAACAGATTATGCAATATAAAGATCGTATTATAATAAGCTTGTTAAACTCTTTTATTCGTATTATTACCCTTTTTATTAATAGTAACCCTTTTATCTTTAATTTTTTATTATACTTTTTAGCTTTAAAAAAGGTTTAAATATTAATCTTTTTGTCAGAAATCACATAAAGGTCAAGACAAGGGATGGATCAGGATCGGGTTGGTTGCTTTGTTTGTGTATGGTCAATGGTCCAGAAGGGACGAATCGCTATCTAAATAGGTGGCCTGGAGCCCTGACCAACCGTCTCCCAAACAGGTGGCTGTTTGGTTGCCACGCAACAACCAATTGCTGTCACACACCCCATGGTGGCGGACGGACCACGTCAAACCACACACCATAGTCACTACCACATCTAACACTTTTTGATTTATTAGTATTTAAGTTTTATAATCTACGTATAACTTGTTGTCGTTTTTTTACTGCTTAATAGTAACCTACACGGCTTTTATATATTTGATTTATTTTGAAATAACGGTTTAAATTTTTTAAGTTGTTGATTAAGTTTTTTTAAGGTATTTTACAGCGCTTTCTAGCTATGAACGCTCGATTTTATTGTTTTTGTCACGGAACAGCTGGCAGCTCAGGACGAAGATACCCATCTATTACTCCAGATGAATAAGAATCTACTGGTGAGGAGGGAAGAAGGATCAGAACCACCAGCCAATTCTGGTGGGGGATTAGATCTTCAATCCCGCTCCACAATTATCTATAGTGAGTGCAGCGGGGCAACGCGTCCACCCCACCAGATCACCTGATGAGCGCACGTACCACCGTGAATGGATGGATGGATGTCAGATCCATCACAGTTTTTTACTTTTAATAGCTTTTTTATAAGCGCTAGCTTAACTATTATTTTATTATAAAACTTTATAGTTAAATAAATTACTAATTATTATTTAAAGATTTTAATAATCTATAATAATATTAAGGTTATATTTCGTTTTGATTTAAAGGCTTTTAATACTTTTAAAATGCTTTAAAGGTTTATTATAGCTGTTATTACTAGTTAAATTTCTCTTGCTTTTATTATATACTGTGAGATTTTAGAAGGGTCACAAGCCTTGGGGGTATGAGCGGTCGCTGCAAATGTTGTTGTCATTCTCAAGTATGCTTGGCAGGGCTAATCTACAGCTAAATACCATATTGCACCATGCCAGGGTGGATCCACTGTTCCCTTGACAGCCCCCTAGTGGGTACTGCACCTAAGGGCACCATATCTGGGATCCAACATCTGACAATATTATACTTTAAATTATTATAAGTTAGCACGTAAGCGGCTTTTTTTAATATGAAATTTATAAAATAACCTTTTTTCCTTATTTAAAGCTAATTTTTTAATTTATTATAACCGCCCTTGCAATTAGTTTACGTTTGAGTTATCGTAATATTTTTAACCTTATAAAAAAAGGGTTAACTTTTATACTTCATGGCGTTAAATAGCCTTATAAAAAGATAAATTACCGTTATCTGTAGCAGTTATTACTTTTGTAAGGTCTTTTAAAGTGTATAAAGGCGTCATTTTGACATATTGAAGCTTTTAATGCTTTTAAAAAAATTAAAAAAAAGGAAATGCAGAACTTTTGCTAGGTTAAAAGGGATAAGGGGCACGGGTTTTATTATCCTTTAAATAAGTCCGGAAGTACTAACACCCGACCTTTACCGCGGCACATCCCGTCGCAATAAACCTAATCAAACCTGGATCATAAGAAACCACTAAAAAAAGACGATTCAAACGCTATACTTACAGTATCTAGGGCTTTATTAGCTATGGTAATATCTATAAGTGAACATAGTAATGTTGGCTGTAAAAACTGTCCCACATATAGGGGTGTCCGTTAACAATCAATGACTGTCAGGGAGGACTCTCACAGCTAGAGTATACATGTACCAGCCCTATTTCCTCTTCCCCCCAAAATCTCAACGTCTTACTTCCCTCCCATCGCGATCTGGGCCGTCCACTCCTGAGAACTCATCACAGTCCCTTGCTTCGGGAAGAGCTGCCCTACCAGCACCTCGTGGACGTCACGCTTGGAGTCCGCACATAGGTCCTCGAGCACCACGATCTCGTAGTCCATATCTGCCGCCTGGTACATGTTGCGGGTCAGCACTTGCTCCTTGTTGCTGATCCCCGGGCAGCGGTTCTAGGGGTAAGGGGGTAGGGTAGGGGTGCCGATGAGGTGGTGCTCCTATGCTTCCAACACCAGCCTGGAAGAGAGAAGAACCTTGGGGAAACCCGAAATAACTCACCTGGCGCACAGTGGATAACACAGCACCGCTCGTGGCCACGCCCGCAATGACAATCTTCCCAACGCCGACTGCATAACCGAGGGTCAGTCAGTGCTCTCTTCACAGTCTTAACAGCCAGTTACGAGTTCATTCAGGGGTAAAAAGCCCAGTTCACAATCGACCATCGACCATCGACCACACCGAAACGTAAGGAAAAGGGAGGAAATCAAGGAGAGGATATCGCTACTCACGCGACTTCAGCACGACCTCCAGATCCGTCCCATGAAAAGCCGAGACCCGGCGCTTCGTGACGCGGATATCGGTCTCGGCCACAAAGGACATGGCCGTGTGCAGCGCCACGGCCGGGTCCGACTCCTTGTAGGCATCCGCGGCGCGCACGCGGGCGCCCGAGATGTTGCGCGGCGAGGCGTCGGCGTAGCTGTCGCGGAAGCTGACCGTCACCTGGATGACGGGGACGCCGGCGGCGCGGGCGGCCACGATGGTCTGCGAGAGGCTTGAGAGGTAGGCGGTCGTGTCTAGAGCGGATTTCAAGCCCTCGATGTGGCAGACCTGGACGTCGAGGACGAGGAGCGCTGTTTTGTCCATGGTGCTGATCCCGGCGGGTTGGCGGACTGAAGTCTTGAAGCTGGATGAAGGTGATTCGGGCTGTAATTCGTCGATAGGAAGATTCAATGATTTTCAAAAATGATTCCGACGAGCGACTGGTGTGTGCATATTTCTGGATCTGTAGAGGCGATGCATCATAACACTCTTCCTCCTCTTGTAGTATGAACCGCTCGAGACTTCGAGGTCTGCGGCACCAATAGGCACCGATACTCGTTCTCTCATTGGTCGGTCTCGAGCGATGTCAGAAGCTGGGGTTCAGTCTCGGAGCCGATCCGCATACGTTACAGGTTCTTCTGGATAGGGCTGCCATATTCATACGTACTTCCTAGGGACGATAGTGATGACTTTCCGAGCTCTCATAATTCGCTGTGCATTGGCTCCTGCGAACACATCATGCCTTGTACAATAGGCCTGTTCGTACTCCTCTTGATATGGGCTGCTTGGTGATGTTATTATGAGGTACTTTATGCAGCGGAAGCCGCCAAGCATTTTTATACTCCCGCTACCTGGTTTGGCACCGCTCAAGCTCGGAATCACCCCTTTTTGATATCTCGGGCTGGCATGATACCAAGGCCGTAGCGCATGAGACTGGATGGATAGATTAGAGGTAGAATAATGGCTTCCTTCCTTGCTGTTTTGCCGTTGTTTTCTGGCTGAGAAAAGTACACCACCTTGTCGTTGTCGAGTGGGAGCCGCAGCAGGGGTGCCACTATCAGGGCAGCCTCCACTACCTGATCCTACGTCTAAAAATGTCACCAGGACGAAACACTACGTCATCCTATGGGAGGGACATGTCAATCCCAGAGGTATGGTGCAGGTGGCTATCCCCTACCGTACCATCGTGTGCAACGCAGCAACCAGGCAGACTGGCAGGACAATGGTTCCCGGATACATGTAGGCAAGTTCGAGAAACATCGGAGCAACCGGGTGATATGTGTCCTCCCATTCATGTCATCCCGAACGCAGAGCCGAGTGGATGTATGTCGATGATTACGATATCGAACCCAGTAGGGATTGTATAGCATACGACGAAAGAATGCGCGCCGATCAAATATATTCGCATACCGTCCTAGTCATTACCATCAGCATCATCACTGCTGCTGGCCTTTCCCGTAACCATATCCGTAGTCCCAACAACCCAAAACAAAGCCAGCAAAAGTGGTATCCTTGGCCCCAGTTGAGTCCGATCGTACGAACTTTTCGTTTCCCAGTAGCACCGTCGCTCTTTGTAGCCCGTATTGTCCCCGTTCCCATTTGTGACGCAGTCCTCTTAACGCCGTTCGTTATGCAGTTCGTCATTACAGGTAGTCCGTAAGATTGGTTTAGTGGCTTCTGGGATAGCTTATCCTGCCCTTGTCGCTTGACCCTCGGTCATTATGAGAGGGTGCCGACGTAGGACCGGACTTCAGTTCGGCCATATGTGCTTGTTTCGCCGCAAGGGCGTTGATCTTCTCGCGCGCCTTCATTAGACTGCTGCTGTCCTGCTCCTTGAGCTTCGCGCGGATCTCGTATAAAGACAGCAGGGTGGAAGCACGGTCGACGTCGGTGTCGGGTCCCTGAGCGATCTGTGAGCATGACCGTAGCATTTTAGCATGGGGTCTAGAGTCTTAAGCACGCACATGTTCTCCTCGAGGAGTCCCCGGGCATGACGGTGTGCTCGAATTGTTTCGTGTCAAGGGAGGCGTGAAGATGCGGTAGCCGAACTTGTCGCTCAACGAACGACCGCTAGTGGAAGAGATAACGCGGCTCTCAGTGGCACTTCTCCGGTGATTTCTCTCCTGCGGCTGCGGCACCTGCAGTTGGTTCTTCTGGTCGAGGGTTTTGTTGGCGCCCACGAGGGCTTTCGAGGCAGACTGGTCTTGCTGTGTGTGGTCAGGCGGGGTCAGCTACTTGTACAGTTTGAGAGAACAAAAGAACAAGAGACAACGTACAGCGGCCTGGAGATCATTCAGATCAGCTAGCATCTGTGCCATCTGTAGGGCCTCCATAGTCGCGATTGCATTCAATGGGGATATTCTGAGGTGGATGTATTGTCGACGAAAAGCAGAAAAAGACCAAATCAGGGGCCGAACTAGTGGGCGAACGAAGCTAGACGTGTCAACTGTCGCGGCGCGAAGAGGTAGGAGGTATCGTGAGACTTGAGTGATGTAAAGGTGGGTTCTCCGGGAAGAAGCGAGAAATTATTCTTGGTTGTTGGCGGGCAATCCATACCGAGCGGCGGGGCAGTCGCGTGCAAAAAGCTCTGACACCTGTCCAACCTCATCCCCAGCGGGCGACTTTCCCCAGGCCCAGACTCGGCCAGTCCGGTCACCGGCACAACCTCACAGGTCTAGGGACAGTAACTTTAGAACTAAACCCCCCGTTCCGTAAAACTAAACCCTCCTAACCGCATTTGGAAGCCATCCCGACCATTCAATTGGCTACGCACCGCCCACCTTATTGCAAGTACTTCAGTTTGCGTGCGTTTTGCAGCAAACCAAAGGTACCTACAATGAAATCCCCGGTAACGACGGGATCTCGCCGGTTAGCGACGTGGCTAGGGTCAGGGTTAGTGGTTAGGGTTAGCCGGGGGTTTGAGGGGCGGTGCGAGTCCCCATCTGTGAATGTGTCCTTTGAGTGCGCGTGGTGGTGATGGTGGTAATAGTGGTGATGGTGATGGGAGGATTAGTGGGTCTGATGGTAGATGCACACACTCTGATTAGCTGATTCGGGGGGTTTAGTTTTTCGGAACGGGGCGTTTAATTTTAAAGTTACTGGTCTAGGGACACCCCCCTACCCCGCCTAGCCTTCTGGAACTCCTGAAACCCCGCTGTGATATGCAACGTCCAGGTGCATGCAGAGCCACTAAACCGCTTCCGTGCTGTCTGTGCAGAAGCTGTCGTGGGGTCGACGCCTGCACAACTGTGCCTGCCACCAGCCCGATGTGTTCTAGCGCTATTGTCAGGCTTCACTGCCGTGGGGGCTCAGGGGTCCCAGGAGCTACGGCTCGTGTTATCAATAGCCGACCGAGCATCGGATCGTTCGCCCGCTCGGGTCGGCGACATGGCAGATGACTTCAATTGAAGCAGTAATAATAAAAACACGCATTGGATCAATTGCCGACTCACAACTCCAACACTGCCAGCCCTCCCCCTGTCATCACACGCGGAGGTGCGTCGCATATTCGCTTGCGGTATATAATCAACAGCAACGCCACAGTCTGCTGACCCCCTCCCAGCTCTCCGATAATGAACGTATTCCGTCGCGGCATGGCTTCAGCATCCTCTTTACGCCAGGCCGGCAAGGTCGTCTGTATCGGGCGCAACTATGCGTAAGTGCCGCGCAGCCACGTCTACCGGTGTACCACCGCAGAGCGCTGATTTGATCTCTTGTGTAGCGACCACATCACCGAGTTGAACAGCGCTAGGCCCAAGCAGCCGTTCTTCTTCCTGAAGCCGACGTCGTCCATCCTGCTGCCGGGAGCCGGTCCCGTGATTCGGCCCAGGGGCATCAACCTTCACTATGAGGTCGAACTGGCCCTGATCATCGGCAAGCAAGTGAAGGATCTCCAGGCAGACGATGAGCAGGGTGCCATGGATGCCATTGAGAGTAGGTGATTGATTCACTCTGGACCCCCACACTTATCATGTGATTGACCTTTCGGGCAGGCTACGCTCTGAGCATCGACATGACCGCGCGCAATACGCAAAACGAGGCCAAAAAGAAGGGCCTCCCCTGGTCCATCGCGAAGGGATTTGACACCTTCCTGCCCATGAGCAACATCATCCCGAAATCGGCCATTCCCAACCCGCACTCCATTGAGCTGTACCTGACCGTCGACAACGAGGTCAGGCAGTCGGACTCCACCGAGCTCATGCTGTTCCAGATCCCCAGGATGCTGAGCGACATCTCCAAGGTCATGTCTCTGGAGAAGGGCGACATCATCCTGACTGGTACGCCCAAGGGCGTGGGACCCGTCGTACCGGGTGATGTCATGCGGGCCGGTATCAAGGTCGATGGCAAGGAGCTCGAGGAGGGCAAGATTGAGGTGAACATCGAGGAGTCGACTAGCTCGTACTCGTACGCTGAGACCTAAAGGACCGCGAATGACCCGACTGTACTGTACCGTGATGTTTTCAAGGCAAACTGTTTTGTATATAAGACACTGTCGATACCTCCACCGCCCTTGGTTAGTGCTGTCGTTATGGAACCAATATTTCCCATGTATTTAGTTGCATTAATCATGTGATACTTATGGACAATCATAGACTTCCACTTAACCTCACCGCAATGCAAGGTAGAGTCTGTATAGCAAAGACTCGTCATCGCAAAATCGTCCTTTAGGCATGACAAACGTCAGCTTGAGAAAAGGATGTATGTTGATATATCTCTTACATGATATGGTTGGTGCGATCAGAGGACCAGAAAAAGAAAAAAGAAGTAACACCTATCAACCTCGAACCCGCCCCCTCCGCAGGACTAGATTTCAGTAAAAAGAAAGGGATCTATTTACGCGTAAAGCGACCTCCGAAAAACCGGTTAAGTGTTTTCCTCAAGCATGCTGGTCAAACCAGCACTACAAATCGGCCGTTACGCTTCTTCGGTGCGATGGAAACTTTTCCTCGTGTTTTGCCAAGTAAACAACCCCAACCTAACCAACCCTTAGGTAGGTGCATATATACTGGCTGGGCGTCTGAATCTGAATCTGCATCAAACCCATTCCGGATATGGACAAACTGGCTCGTCGGATCATAGAGGTTATTCTCCGTCTCATCCAACCAACCCAGCCCGTCCGCCATGGTGTAGACCAGGCTCTCGCCGCCCTCCTTGTCGCCACTCGCCTCCTAAAAGAATGCACCGCTGAGACCGCGCTCGTAGATGTACCCGGATTTGAAGACAGCGCTGCGCACGTCATCGTACGAGACCAGCTCCCTGGCCGCCGCGTCGTAGCTATAGATGGGCTTGGCAACGTCGTCGTACTCGACCGTCGCGCCGGGGCGGGGGAGGTCCTTGTACAAGTAGACGTTGGCTCGGTGGCCGGTGGTCGTGCCCCATGACCCGGCGTAGTCGTAGACCATCCGGTGCCTGCGGGTTTGGCAAGTACTGGGTATGAAGGTAGAAGAAGTACAGTTAAGAAGTTTAGTCTTACCAGACATCGACGAACTTGTTCATCGCTGCTAGGTCCATGAGCCTGTGGCTCACGGCGCGGGCCGGACTGGCTACGGTGATCGAGAAACGATACCTCAGCCTGTTCTCAAGGGAGTAGCTGTCGAGGCCTTACGATAGGCTTTGAGGAACTCGACGAAGTCTCTTTCTGTGTCGTTAGTCGGGTATTGCCAGTCGATATCGATGCCATCGAGTCCCCAATCCGTAACGAGCTTGACGGCAGATTGCGCAAAGGCCAGCCTCCTCATCTTGGTGGCGGCTACCGCCGCAGATTTTGGTGGATAGTTTCAGCCTCCTATTGACAGCAGCGTCTTGAGATTTCTGTTGTTCTGCTTGTGGATGGACAGCTGGTCGATCGCACCATACGCGTTATTTTCTGCATCTTTACCTGAACCCACTGCGGATCAAGGGGTATCGCTTTCCATATCCGCGGTAAGATCGGAGGATAGGACGGTTACATTAGGTGAGATATCGGCAAATGCATAGAGAGGATGTGTCAGCTGAGACACTGGGAATTCTGCCGGCTGATACGTGTACGAGCCCCTATTGTCGATTCAGTTTGAAAACAGCCCCAGGGAACGGATGATCTGCTCCTGACCAGTTCGTGAAGTATACAGCACTTCCATAGCTATTGAATTTTCACGTCCTCGTTGTAGGTAGCGAGCGTACGCAACCAGATAGTACGAGACCGGTAGGAGGATATTGGGACATACCGGGAGTTGGAGTTGGACGGAGACGCAGGTCACAGCTGTGACTGAGTAACACTCACCGCAGCCACCGCTCAGACCGAACGTCCCACGATGAATGTAGAACCAACCACCGAACCATTAGGTAATCTACGCATAGATGAAATTTACTAAGTGGCATAACTGCGTAGAGCAATCATGGAGTGGTCTCGTGTAATAGGTCTTGGCTAACCTACTAGGTGTAACTCAAGCCACTGAACAAGCAACAAGCCATCTCTCATGTCCAATACACAGTGGTTCATCATAATTTGGTGTTTTCTATATTATGGATGGAGTGGAGCTTCGAAGCAACTCCGAGGGCGTTGGGTGACGGGTACTCTATTCGATCGGAATGCGATTTCATCGCTGATGTCATGTCGGCGATTCCGAGTGCTGTAGTAATGGAAACCATGAGCCTATAGTCAGTGATCTGCATTTGAAAGTCGTTGCTTAGTTGGATCCTGTTAGCTGCTTATGTCTTCGGAATGCCTGACGCCTCTGGTGCCCCTTGTCGAATAGGGACATAACACTAGATAGGTATTCAACATCGTCCACCGACTCGCGCGATGCTTCAACCCATGAAGCTCACGAAGTTTTAGGGAGGGCTGATACTTTCTCTCAGCTACTTGTATGTGGCATGTTCGGATCTACAGTGGAGTTGAGTCTCTGCTTGCAAGAATCGATCAGTCGTATAAGGATAGCACAAGGTGAGTTATTATTTATGATGGGGAAGGAGCGACCGATTGCATGTCGTCCGGCGTTTCAATGGATACCTACATGTAGGTAGCTCAGGCAACTGTCGCGTTGTGGTGTGCCACAGCAACATGATTGGACATTGAAGCTCCCCACCCTCTGGCCAGCTCGCAGCACAACTTGGCAACACAGCCTCACCACCTTGATTAAGGAAATCTCAGCGACTCGCACATATCCTGCGAGACCATTTGAGATTATCATATCAAGATCGGCGGTCATTGCGAAAGCGAGGGCGCGCAAAGCCTAGCGTGCAAGAATACGCCCTGCGGCCCGTGAGTTGGCCTACCTCAAGCACCGACATTGAAAGCATCTGACATCGGGCACAGCCAGGCCAGCATTCTCGGCCGACCAATCCTTTCGCCTGGCTGCCTCAACTAAGCGTATGCCGGTATCTATCTCTGAATATCGAGTCAGATTTTGGAACCAATTCTTCGAAAGACCACCCATAAACATCAACAATGCCGGAATCTTCATCCCAAGACCACGGAGGACAGCAGCCTCGAGATGCATCTCCGCCTCCTCCCTACTCGGAGACGCCGCCCCCGCTGCACGCAACCACGCAGTTGAGCGAGCAAACGCCACTACTGGGGCGTCCCGTCATCGTGATACGTGGAAACATCACATACACCTGGTACAGACCAAGCTACGTGAGAGAACGATCATGCTGGGACTTGAAATTCAAGCGATGCACTGCATGTGCCCTGATGTTCATGTTCTCAACACTGATCCTGCTGTGCGTGATCTTGCCCGTGCTGCCGTTCTTATTGCAACTCGACTGGCTCCCTTCGCGGGTCCCACCACCAATTCCAACATACTCCGTGGCTATCATAGGTACCTATGAACCATAACTCCATCCTGACAGAACCCGTAAGATCTAACAGGTGTAACAGGAGCCGGCCCAGCAGGGATAGCAGCCGCGCAACACCTTAAGTGCTCCCAAGCAGCGCAAGGTGTGCATTTCAACATCACCGTATACGAGGCCAAACCCCATGTCGGCGGCCAGCTAGCCCTCAACGGCTCCCAAGACGGTCTCGTATATCCTTACGATGACCCGAGACAGGAACCCATGACGGCAGAAGACATCGCCGGCACCGCCCTGCTGTGGAACAACGCGCTGTTTACACAAGACTCGGAGGACTTCCTGGGGGGTCGTGTCGAGTTCTCCGAGCTGGGCAGCCAACAGGTCGGATAGTAAGTCAAGCCAGCAGGACCTCTCTGATATACGTGAGAATGATTAATCAGACCGCCGTACTAATCACTCCGCTCACCATCAGCTACCGCGGCGAGGACGACCCTCCCGTAACCACCACCACGCGTCCCTACAGCAAGACGCCCACAGTCTCCTGGATGCGCCTGATCTGGCGGTACGGAAAATCCGTCTGGCAAGCCGGCAGCATGGCCTCGGCAATCAACTTCCGCGAGAAAATGCCGTCTACTCCGCTCGTCGACGACATCGCCGCCATCCTACACGGCCTCGGCGATAGCGTTCTGGAGGCTGCCGGCCAGTGGGCCAACGCGACACTCGATGCGCACGGCATCGGTGAGCCTTACCGCACCGAGGTGCTCGACCCACAGGTACGGCGCATGTACGGCGAAGGTCTCGCGGGCATTAGCGGGCTAGCGATGCTGCTGGCTGTCGCGCAGGAGGACTCGGCAAACGTGGTTTTGGGCGGGAACTTAGTCGAGCGCCTGCAGCGCATCGTGCGCCGGCTACACGTAGACCTGCGGACCTCTACGCTCGTGACAGGTCTGCGCCCCGCGCAGATCGACGAAGAGGGACACTCGGCGTGGCTTGTCGAGCACAGGGGTGTCGATGGCTCGGGTTCACCCAGCGTCGAGGCTTTCGACAAGGTACTCATGGCGGCGATGGACGAGCGGGTCCTATACGCCAACAGCAGCCCGGATGCAGACGACGCCGCCGCAGAGTCTGACATCAACATGGACGTCGACGTCGAGATTGAATCCTTCGGGAGCACCTCCAAGTCCGTCTTCGTCACGTTCCTGACAACGCAGGCCAAGCACCAGGGGCGCGGCAGCGAAGAAGATCAGGTATTGTTCGTGAAGGACGGCGCAGGCGGCGATAGCAGCGGCCGGTGGCAGGGTCTCGTGAACGAAATCGCCTGCGTGCGCGTCGTCACTCGCTTGCCGCGCAATGGCGATGTTGACGACGATGACAAGGCCGGCCACGACGACCATGAAAGCACCCAAGCCGTCGAGTACTTATACCGCATGCTCTCGACGGAAAGCATCGCGGAGGTTCTGAAATTGGACCCCATGATCAGTTGGTCGCATGAGACGAAGGTGAGTTGACGTTCTGGCGGATGAATACATTCATACCCCTATATGGATAGGGGCAACTGCTGACAAGGCCCACATAAATAGGTCAAGAGCGCCGTCCCCTACCTGCTCCCCATGAGCCGGTTCCCACCCATACAGATCACTGATGATGTATGGTGGACTCCTGTCATCCAGTCTGTCGGCAGTCCGGTTGATCTAAACTGGCTAGCTGGAAAGATCGCTGCCGAAGGGTTGATTAGAGACGTGACGAAGACCTTAAAGGAATCGATATTTGACGCTCTGTGCACTCGTGCACTCTATCGTAGTCTGCCAACCTGCTCTGGTGCCCAGATCTCTCCAAGTGATGCTACAAATGATGCGGATCGACTTTGGTCACGGGGAACACGTGTACTGTTCTCCTGGGCAGCTTCATACATTGCTTTGGCATCGCCAGTAGCCAATTGATAATCTAAGTACAGGGTCCGTTAAAGAACAGATCCTGAAATGACTTTTCCCCACCCAGACCACGTCAGCTTATCTATTCTGCCTCCTAGATGCTGCTCAATCGTACACATATGCCCTCGCCATCTCCTCATATCATGGCCTAGTAGGACCGTGCTGTGTCACCAAAAGTAGCTCTTGACAATGGCAAGATCTATTTGGCGAAATGAAGATCGTATCCTAGCCACTTTCGTCTAAGGACCTCGTCGACACTCAGGCCTGGGTAGCCGTACGTGAGCGGTAGGAAGAAGTACCAGCCTCCAAATGCCAGTAACAGGATCACACCGGCGGCAATCCAAGCCGGAAGCATGCTTTGTCCTGCAAATCTCTCCCTGGCAGTGACATGTCGCTGAGGGCCGGAAGTTTGTGCCTTGCCAGCCTTGATCTCTTGGTAGCTCGGTTCTTCGGCAGATGGCTCTGCATTGAAGACGAACTCAAGCAAGGCACCAACTATCAAGCAGGACGCAAGATGGGCTGGAAGATAGTGGTGCAAGAACAGCTGACGACCCATCAGATAAAAGGGGAAGTAATGCGTGGCCCATGCCAGGAAGAAGAATCCTGTGGAGTTGTAAAGACGCGAGCGGGTACCTTGATTAAGTTAGCTTGATACAAAATGACTCGAGAATCGTGTTTACTTACGATGATCCAGCGCATCGACGCCGCGACGAAGTGAGATCTGGTCAGCGCCAATGATACCAACATAGACCGCAATGAGACTGCTGGCAATCCACCAACCGATCGGGTTGCCGAGGAAGTAAATCTGCTCACGAGTGTCGTTCTGAGTCCAGAAGCTAACACCCCTAAGTAGGAATGGCCACTGGTAGGGCTGACTGGCATATGGATGACTGCTAGTCAACTGGTTGTTGTGCCAAAACATCGAACGTTGCAGCTCGAAATACTTCCTTAAGAAAGACAGCTTCTTGACTTGACGCTCTTCCTTGACTCGACGTGGTGAATCCTCCGGCAAAGAGGGGACATCTTCTACGATCCAGACATTGGAGCTAGGAGCGATCGCCTTGTTGCCGTTGATCTCCTGCTGCTTGGATCCCCATTCAGGCAATGGCTTGGTGTGAGTCCACATTGCGACTTTGCTGGGGTTGTGGATAAACTTGAAATGGCTGGATATACTCTTGAAGTCCTGATTCGCCTTGCCGTGCTCAATGCGGACCTCGAAAAGGGTGTCTTCGGCACGACTGCCGAGGGCATCGATCACAGGGACGGTGGTGAATTCCTGGTTCGTAGGGAAGTAGGGGGAAGCAACGTCGTGGGACAGGAGGATGGAGTCAGTTACCAGGTGACGAAGCCTGACAAGTTCATGATTCTTAACGTGACGACCCATTTGGTTGTCATCGTTGGCTGGAAGAATCTGCCAATAGTTGTTGGTGTCGTTGTATGGATAACCCGTCACTTGCTGGCCCTGACTGGAAACTCGGCCATCGTCATACCGCAGAGGATACTTTGCCTCGTGACTGTGGAGATAGGCTTTGGTCTCCTTGTGACGAATCGTAATGGTGTCGTAATACTCGATGTTCACAGCGTTTGCCAGCATGACGTTGTCAGACAGAGTTTCCTGGAACTCGGGGGTCATGAAATCATCACCAGGTCCGGATCGAGTCAGAATGGCGAAGTGGACCTGGAACCAGAATAGGTAGAAGAGAAACGGCACGACAATCAGACCAACGGCTCGGGCACCGAAGTGGTATCCAAAGTCTCGCAGGTTCAAAGAACCGCCGGGCCGCTTGATGTCAAAGAGATCCCATAGATCAATGATGACGGCGGATCCGACGGTGATGAAGGCGAAGAGTCCGACGTACTTGGTGGAGATGTCGCAGGAGAGGGCAAATCCGGTAAGGATCAGCCACTTCCACCACTTGCGACTGAAAGCCTCGTGCCTCAACTTGTAGAACTTGATGTAGCAAAGCAGACTGCATGCCATGGCAAAGACCAGAGTTGCATCCAATAGAATTAGCCGAGTCTGTCCAATGTGGGCGTTGTCCATCAGAACGAGACCTGCGGCGACAATGCATGCTGGCAGAGTGTAGGCAGACTCCCACATGATGAGGAAGGTAACCGAAACTGTCAGGGAACCGAGGAGGGCGGGCAAGGCTCGGTACGCCACGTAGGGGACCTTGTTCGCTATGTATGAATCGCCGATGTTTTCGAAGTGGAAGTGTCCATCGTATCCGACAAGCCATCCCATCAGGGCGAAAAGGAGTTTCCCAAAGGGAGGGTGCACATCGAAGAAGTACGTCTTTTCGAGGTAGTACGAGGCAAACTAGATTCCGCAAAGCACAGATCAGTCAGGGGATCTTTGACATATGAAGTCGACAGAGCAACACCAGCTGAGGGCGGGGTGCTGGACTTACTTTACCAAAATGGACTTCGTCGAAAACCACCTCGTTCGGGTGGCTGATGCCCCAGAATCTGGACACAAATGCCAGTATGGTGATTACCGTAAAGGCGATCTTGTAATTGAGCTCGGAATTGGTACCGGACGCTGGTCTAATGGTCTTTGCGAGTTTATCGAGCTCCGTCTCAACGCCAGCAGGGCCCCCGTTCTTCTTGGAAGAACCAGGGACGTTGCGCTGGCGCAGACTTCCCTGCGGAGTCGACATGACGAAAGTAGCGAAGCTCAGAAGAAGTAGGTTTATGAAAAGCTGTTCAGTAGGAAGAGACGGTCAGCTACTATGTTCGACGAGGCATTCATCCGAAGTGGGAAAGGGGGGTGATCCCTCGAAGGATGGCTGTCCGCAAGCTCGAGCGAGCGAGCGAGCTTCATTGGCGAAATGGGTCCGTAGCTACTACGGTACACGATAGAGAGGGACTTACAGAACAAATAGAGACGATTGTGATGTAACCAACCCTCGGCCTTGTTGTGGCCGATGCTCGTGCTGGTTGTCGTCGTCACCCTGGTTGTCGGGAGAGGAGGTTAGATTGACGATGGGACCCGAACGTAGGAAACTAAACTCCCTATTAAAATGTGAGCTGCGCGGCGTCGCGTGTTGGGTGGGAGCACAGGGGTCGAGGTACCGTTAGCGGATAATTCTGGCCACTTGGCAATTGGACAGCCGCCCCCGGGACAGTGAACAGTGGGCCCCTTTCAGACTCTCTCGTCTCCACTGTCCAGCCCCTGCCGCGCTCTAGCTGGAGTGAGGCGGCCTTGGCACAAAGTAGAGGCTCACCGTGAAACATTGGTGAGGTACCTACCTACCTACCTACCTATCGATAAGCCATGAGCTGAATTATCCCAACACATTCACGTGAACGTCCCATCTTGTGCCATTGTATTGCGAAGAGGTGTCTACGCTGTCAATAAACCTCTTCACATGCATTGAACACCATCATGCAGTAGTGTGGTGCATATATCAAGTGCAGTGGTTGGCACGCTCTTGGTGGGAGTGTTGCGGGGCCCGAGTCCCAGCCAGCTGGCATAAGTTTGCCACGAGTTAGAGGCAAAGAGACTCAGTCTTAGTCAATTCGTTCTGATTCAATTCTCTGATTTGGTCCGCGTGGTCAGGGAATATTTTTTGAACGACGAATTGGGAGAAAACGTGTTCCTGACGCCCCTTGGATAGGTGAGATATGGTAGAGTGTTGCATTGATGTCAGGAAAGTGTACTGAAGTAGATGCGCCTTGCCAGTCAATCCTGTTCATCAGCAACATGGCTACGACTTAGGTCCAGACATGAACACGAGCCATAAATGAAAATGGTATAGTTACTCCAGTACCGAATGCATGCTTATACTCACACCACCCCTCCGTCGACTGGAGAATGCCACTGATGAGTCTATGAAGCCTTGGTCATAGCTGTGCTACTGTGAAGATCAGTGCCGGTCTGCTCGAGTCTCACGAATCGGGTGAGGAAATAGCACGTTGGTAAGTCAGGCAAAACTCCTGGCTGCCATCATAGCTAGAGGCTTGCAGCACAGGCATACTTCGCAGGTGTTCCTACTAGAGAGACGCCATCTTTCGAAGGGGCTCGAGCCTCATACTTCGCAGATAGAGTAATCACTTCATAGAAGCAAGACGTGAAGCATAATCATTTGGGCCGGACAGCAATACGTACATCCAAGGTTTCTCCATGTAACAACCCAGCTTCTCCTTCAATAGTCAGAGAGTCTGTCCATTGAATGGTATCAAAAGGACTGAAACACCCAGTACCGTTTACTCATATGGGGAGAGAGTCAAATCCCCGTGTAACGTTATTAACCAGTGGCAGACGATGCGGGCAACCCATATTTTAACACGGTAATTGAAGTCAGCCGAATGACTGATGGAACATGGTTCGGGCCAGAGAGTAGAACATGGGGATGTCACATCGGTTGACCACTTTCAGGGCAAGTCGTCCCCATTTCACGCAGCGTCCATGACTTGCATACACATTGAATGTAAGGCAGCCAAAATTCACCAGTTCGGGTATTCACTTGCAGCCGACCTCGATGTGCAAGTCGACGAAACTCGGGTCCATGGGTTTTGGCATAAATACAAGCAGCAATGGTGAAGAGAATCCAGCATGTCTTGCTCTACCAACCAAAGACCGACTCTACCAACCAGAGACTGACATCCTCCCACACGTTTCGCAACGCTAAGAGAACGATCAACATCACATTGTCCGACCAAACAACCTTTGGCACCATCTCAGCATTCCGAACATTAACCATGCCTCCAGTCAACGTGATACTCTGTGGCTATGACGAAAACAACAGAGATCAGGCCCTCTGTACCAACTGGGGACCGCTAAGAGCGCTGGGAGGGGAAACTGAGGTCTGGGAATCAGACGTCGAGGCAAGGATTCATTATTTGCGACATGATCTCAAGGGGACCTTTCAACTTCCGGCGATGACCCGCAATGAGGAGTGGGCCATTGTGGCTGCCAGTGTGAATGTAGCCCCGTCGGCTATGGTATCTGTCGGGCGGACCTCAGGAAACCGATATTCAGTCATCAAGTAAGTTGAGTGATCACAACAGAAACCAAGACACACTCCTTGTCTACTCGAACGTACTGGGTCTAGAAACCCGTTGCATTCAAGCCCTCGTTTTCACCACCTTTCTTTTGGCAACACCTCATGCTAACCGAGTTTCTTCAACCTCTAGGGTCGGCAATAAAGACGTCATCAGATTTCCGAAGATGGTTAAGGAAGCCATGAATGGAAATCTGTACTCTGAGCAATACCTTGTTGAGTGTTTCGCGCATGGTTATAGAATCGAGTTCAGAGTGAACAGATGTTATCAATAAAGTGAAGGATGAGGGGACCTCATATCTTTTGAAAGGAGCACTCTACACAGACTTCTAGCGGCCAGATCTGGACATGGCGACTTTGCTAGATATCACGAACGTTTGGGCATACAGACTCGAATAACCACTGCAGCTGCGGTGAGAAAAAAACACCACAACACATTTTCTTTTGTAAGAGGCTTGGGAAAAACCGACTGCTGCCCAGGTACTCGCCTAGGGCAGCCTGTTTACAATACTTGGGGGAGAGGAGCGCAGAATGGGCAAGATTTGTTGAGAAGAGCAAGTTCTTTTCATCAATCTGCCCCTGATAGATAGCTGTTCTTGAAGGACCAGATAGATGACCCCAAAGTCATACAGCCGCAATAACGGGAATGGGCTCGGGAGCGGGACTGACTGTACTTATTATCTTGATATCTCCACAACCCTGCGATGCAGAGGCTCTGGGAGGCGTGGTTTGCACTACTGAGGAGCGACCCCCCACGTTAAATACAATCAATCAATCAATCAATCAAAGTGAAGGATGAGCAGACGCCGATGGAGAGACGATCCTTCCACGTTTGGGAGACGTCAGTACTTCTTAGTTTTTTTAGGCAAGCCTCCATGGCTATAAAAACCGCTATGTACCTATCTAGGATGGATCACAAACAACAAAGCTTGATGCGAGGCAGGCCCTCATCATGTCAAATGGCACGCAAGCCACAGTGGGGTCAGGGAGGTGGCAGTGCACCGACAGGGGCTATAGGGCAATTTCGGGCCCTGTAGCTTACACCAGCAGATCCTTCAGATACACACACTCTCATCAGAATCACCAGAATACACGTTATCAACAAGATCAACCATAATACGCACTGTTTGACACATCATAGCTAATCTTGGAGCAATTTTGGGGAATTCAACGCATCACATTGTCCAGAAACTTGCTGTGGCATACATAAGATTCCACGAAGCCTCTGAATTCTGCCTTTATTGAGTAGGTGTAGTTACATGTTCAGTTCCCAGGTCTGGAGAATCGTGAAATGGGCAAGGGAAAGGGGCAATTGCGCACAGCCCGCTCAAAAGGGGCTGATCAGCCACAACAAGCCACACCCCCTCCCGGCCCTGTGGAGTTGGTCTAAACCTTGGCATAGCCGAAGAACGGAGCGGCCTCCAGCCCTAACGAGTTGTCATCACGTCAAGCAGGCGTTTGAGACGGAGACCTGCATTGCCATTCTGACCATGTCAATCGCCTCACGAGCACTCAGACTTCGTTCAGCGCTGTCAACCTTCTCCTGCCGTGCTCTCATCTCTGCTCCACGCTATTCGCCCCCCGTAACCCTCACAACATTACGCAAGATGTCGGATATTACTCCCATTACCGCCAAGGATGCCGCTCCTCGTAAGTATCAATGTGTTGGCAAGAAATGAGTCGGGACTGATTGCATCGTAGCTGCCGGACCTTATGTATGAATTCAATCAATTGAACCTCACAGTATCTCGTTTCAGAACCTGACATGACCTTGATTGACAGTCGCATGCCATCAAGACACCAACTGCCATCTACTGCTCCGGTCAGATCCCCTGCGACTCGCAGGGCAACCTCGTCGAGGGGACCATCGGCGAGAAGACAGCGGCCTGCATCGGAAACCTGAAGGCAGTCCTGATCGCTGCTGGCTCCAGCATCGAGAAGGTTGTCAAGGTGAACATCTTCCTGGCCGACATGTCTTCCTTTGCCGACATGAACAAGGAGTACGAGAAGTGGTTTACCACCAAGCCGGCTCGTAGCTGCGTCGCCGTCAAGACACTTCCGAAGAACGTCGATGTTGAGATCGAATGCATTGCTCTGCCGTGAGTGACTTGGTGGTCACTGGGAGCTCAGGGCTATGTGCACGCAACGCATACAGTAGTATGCTGGATACAAGTCAGGACTTGTCCGTGGTTGGCTCCACTCGAGATACTTCGGAGTTCTGGAGCTCATGAGGCCTTTATGGGGCTTGGATGGTCGTGATCAGCTCCTTGCCGGACTACCAATGGACATACCTCATCTACCACCGTTGTTCCTCTCTCCGACGTGCCTGTGAAACGACAGTTAATAGTCCCTAGCACTTGAGTTATTTAGGAAATGCCCTCACCGCCTTACTCACGTGTCAATCGGTTACTATCGCGATGATAGACACGCCACGGTCCGCTCCATCGTGAGCGCCACCGCCACGCCACCACGGTAACTCCCACTAGGATAGGTTCATCACGAACCTAAGTATATCCGATGGCTTGCGAAGTTTTCAGCGCCCAGAGGACATCCAGGAGATGCTTGTGATTGCAAAAGAGCGATTGATTTTCTGCCCTACGAAAGTAGAGGCACCAGGTCAAGTCAAGACCCACTACAGAAAATATCAGCACTGCCCCTGCACAAGGATGACAGTTCAAATCAGAGAAGTTCAGCTCCGGGCACTTTTTTTTTTGGTTCATTTCCTCACACAGTTCTGAACCTTGCTTCTGGCCTCTCTTTTTAGACAAGGGCATCCTCACGTTGTTTAGTTACCTACACTTCGCCGTGACAGATGTCGAAGCACTCGGGCTGCCGTGTGGTCGTTCACATTACTTTACACACAGTGCTAATATTCAGTTTGGCCAGTGATGGGGCTAGCAGTTAGCAAGTTGTGGTCCCCGACTTCGAGTCTCTGACGGCTATCTGGCGATGCGTGTCATCTTGATGTAGGATGTGATAGTATCAGTGAAGCATCCGAGCCAGATCGAAGTCCACACATGGAGTGGCTTGCTGGTCAGGGTGGTGGTAGAGATCATGTTCTGGGTTTGCTCCAACGTAATGGTGATCACCTGAAACGTCTCGTGGGCAAAGGTCGCACCTTCTTCACTTGGTGAGGCTTGGGCTAAGGGGCCTGAAGGTCATGAGGGGACACATCGCAATCTCCGACTTTTGCTCATATACTTGCTCATATACCTCCAACAGGCAAGTCGAACCGGAGGTGTCTGTCGAGCTGTTCTCGCTGTCATGATTGGCCACCGTCTGCATCACTCGACCTGATCAGTGTCGTGATTCGATAATAGCTAGGGGTCGCACACCGAGCTGATAGGAGTGTCACGACAATATCATCGTACCCCTAAGAAGAATTCGGGGATTTGCGAATTTGCATCTCACCGGCATCGTCACACGCGGGCCGAATTCTTATCGGGATCACTAGGCATCCACATTCACCCTTCCCCTTCACCTTCACCTTCACCCTCCGTCGTTCACCCTTCACCACTCGCCCTTCACCCTCCACCCTCCATCTTCTCTCCAACCTCCTGCCAGCCAGGTATCCACCCAACTTTGTGGTCAGTGCTTTCTGGTCACAACTTCACACCTACCTCGATCTTCCTGCTCTCTACCACTAACCTTCATCAGGAACCATCGAGCGAAATCAATCACTCAATCACCTCTTCCACATCACGCTTTCAATCCTGCGTCCATTCGGCGTCTATCTGGCGTCTAGTCACCATGACCTCCTCTTCAGGATCACAAGATGGAGATCGCTTCGCCGTCTCCCTGCGTGGTGAATCTCCCTCACCCGCTCTACCAGGACTAGGAGCGGTTGACACCACAGAATCCGCCTCCGACATCTCGAGCCCCATTTCTATCACCTCGAGCCCTATCTCTGGCACCTCGAGCCCCGTCTCTGGCACCTCGAGCCCCATCTCTGGCATCTCGAGCCCTACTTTTGGCGTGCAGACACCCACATCTTCGATCTCGTCGATCTCTTCAAATACATCCATCGGTACCACTCTAGAGAAGAACCAGACCATGTTCCAGGGCTTCGAATGGTACTGCCCAGATGATCAGGAGCATTGGAAGCGCCTCGCGAATGCGGCTCCGGCCCTCTCAAGCATTGGTGTCACCTCCATGTGGATCCCTCCAGCTTGCAAGGGCTTCTTGGATGGGAACGCAAGTGCAGGCTACGATACCTATGATCTCTACGATCTGGGCGAGTTCAATCAGAAGGGTGGCGTCAAGACCAAGTACGGTACCAAGGCCGAGCTTCTGAAGCTTATCGAGGTCTCTAACATCCATGGCCTGGCCATCCTTTTCGACGTGGTCGTTAACCACAAAGGAGGCGCTGACTACCATGAGCCGGTGAATGGCGTCAGAGTTGACCATCTCAGTAAGTTGTCAATGAAAATGAGATGCCGGGTCCCACAACTGACACTCCCACCGCAGATCGTCTTCATGAAATTACTGGAGGACTGGAACACATCCAGGCTTGGACTGGATTTGACTACCCTGTTCGCAACGACGAGTACAGTACCTTCAAATGGAACAAATCCCACTTTTCAGGCGTGGATTACGACGAGAACACCAAGAATTGCGAGATTTACAGACTCGAAGGCAAATGCTAGGCACATGACGCTGACGATGATCGTGGAAACTACGACTACTTGTAAGCATTGACTGCTCACTGAAAATGCAGTCATCTGCATACATGTCCTATGCCATAGGCCTGGTCTGATCTCCTGCTAACATGATACCACCTAGGATGTTCGCCAATATTGACCACTCCAATCCTGAAGTGCAGCAGGAGCTCTTCAATTGGGTTCAATGGCTAGGAAGCGAGCTTGACATTGGTGGCATACGCCTCGATGCCATCAAACACATATCGAAGCAGTTCCAGAAGGACTTCATCTCCCACATCCGAAAGACGGTCGGACCTGGCTGGCTCATCGTTGGCGAGTACTGGCACTTTGACGCCAGGTTCATGGCCAAGCTCATCGAGGACTTTAACCATCAACTCATCCTCTATGACATTCCGCTTGTCCACAAGTTCCGCGATCTTTCCAAGACGCCGATTGATAGACTTGACCTACGCACCGTGTTTGATGGATCGCTGGTGAGCTTGAAGCCGGAACAGGCAGTGGTGAGTACCCCATCTGTGATCTTAGCATGTCTCTCATACGATTTTCTGCAGTCGTTTGTCGTGAACCACGATACAGTAAGTCGAATCCCCACTCAGCGCTCTAGTGCACCCTGAAGATGAAACTAAAAACCCTCCAGCAAGAAGGCCAGGCATCCGAATGCGTGGTCTCTCCGTGGTTCATCCCACATGCCTACGCGCTCATCCTCCTGCACGCAAAGGCTGGGACCCCCTGCGTCTTTTATGGCGACGTCTACGGCTCTTACGGACCCCAAGGTGAATCAAAAGCCGGCGAATACAATTTGCCGCCTTATCACTCCAGCGTGGTCAAGATGGTCCTTGCTCGACAGTACTACGCCTATGGTGGCATGAGCGAGTTCTTCGATGACCCGCTCTGCATCGGTTTCACGCGCCACGGCGATGAAGACCACTCGGACGGTGCAGGTCTTGCAGTCGTGCTGAGCGCACTGGAGGAGACGGCATCGAAGAGGATGTTTGTGGGACAAAAGCATGCGGGAGAAGTCTGGACCGATGTGCTCGGTGGCGTGAAGGATGAAGTGGCCATTGAGGGAGACGGGTGGGCGACATTCCCCGTCCGACCACGGACGGTCTCCATCTGGGTCGACGCGGTCGCTGAGGACAGAGAGCTGGTTGATGGATTTGTCTTGTGAGTGTTACCTTTCCATCGTGACAGGTTGGAACCTATGCTAACAGTTGCAGCGATCATGACATTTACGGTCTAAAGAGTGGTAGAGAATCTGGCTGATGGAGTCTACCATTGGCTCACCTCAGAAGTTGCCATGTGCATACAATGCGAGAGGCTGATTTTAGCTTGAGAGAAAAAAAGGGCCGAAACAATCTTGGAATGAAGGGATTTTGGACTGAAGGGATCATGACTACATTGACTCCCTAGATGGCAGAACGAACCGCTGTATGAATGCACTGTCTACTTCGAATCTCATACCTACCTAACCAAAAATAATTCCATGTTCGTGACTGTCTGCATAGATGAACCGGCACAAGGGGGATGGTCTGGATCCTTGGGTCGATGAGGAATCATGAACCCCAGCTACACTGACCTTCTTGGAAACCGCAAATGATTGACATTGTGGTATGACTGTTCCAACCAACCTATTTGGACGCAACTTGCCGGCCATTGTGCTGGCCCATAACTTTATAGAACCAGCGTTCTCTACATAACCGGATTCGAACCTGGGAGCTCGGGTAGCCCTGTGCAGAAAAGCGTTAGCTGGCATCACGTCCTCGCAGTAGACCATGACTTACAGCTGTCAATGTCTTATTTGCCCATATCGGGGACCTTGCACTCGTTCTGCTGAGCGATAGCCTGGGTCCGGAGAGTTGGTGCCGAGACGTAAGTATGAGCGTCCATGGCCTTCTGTAGAGAGTCATCCTTCCAACCGAACAGGTAGTCAGCGTGGCTGGAAAAGCCAGTGGCGTCCCCGCTGGACCACACGAATGGCTGGTTCTCATCGGCGAAGTCAGCCGCATCATTGAAGGCGCGGGTATCCCAGATGGTCTCCAGGAGGATCTGGGGAAGCCGGACAGGGTGGGTCGAAGGACAGGCGCCACCGGACTCGAAGGTGCCGGTCTCCGGGTACGAGACGTGGTCTTGGTGGTTAGGAGAGTCGAGGTTCTTACCGTCCCAGCAGGTTGGGAACCGGTGGTTGGCCATTATACCGCCTTTGCACGGCGTCGTGGGAAATCCTATGGTCTCAGGGGCTCGGGTGCTCTGGTCCTCCATGCAGATGTAGGTCAGCTGCCGCCACTTCCGGGCTTGCTCGCGGTCGCGGAAGGTCGAGTCGCCAACTAGCATGCGGAAGCCTGGCTTGAAGGCTGTGACGTTCGACTTTTGAGCGGTGTCGAATAGGGCATCGCTCATGTAGTAGACGACCTTGAAGCTGAATTAGACAGTGAAAACCGGGATCTGATAGCGAGCTGCTGCTTACCATGCCGCCGTCTGTGCCCTCCATACCGGCCTGGGCCATCTGAGGGATTCTCTTGTATGTGCCATTCTTGGCGCGGTAGAACAGGACGGCGGTCCAGTAGTTGGAGAAATCCTCGGTGAATTGGCAACTCGTGCAAGTCGAAAGCTCCGCGAGATCATGCGTCTCCACAGGCATCGACGCGTTGAAGGAGTCCTGATATCTGTGAGCTATATACTTGAATGCTTTAAAGGTATGAGATGCTGATGCCTCCAATGATTTGGTGAAGGTGAACCGAAGGGTTCATGCCCGGGTTGACCAAGGGATCCAGACGCTGGACTGTCAAGCCCGCGCAACCGAAGCGGAGAAGCGCGCTTGCCGGCGTGAGGAGCCCTAGGGCAGCAACGAAGGTATCCAACTGCATTTTGACAATGTATCTTCCTGAATTACTACTTCGGAGATGATGGAGGGTTTGGAGTGGATACTGTGGAGGGGAAGATACTGAGGATAGGTTTGAGCTCGGGCGTCGCGACTCTCCCCTATGTAAAGCACTGCCGTCTCTCCCAAACTGCCAAGGTCACAAAGCACGCTTCTAGGTCTCTTAAAATATTGATTATTAATATCGGGAACTAGCGCGATGTGTCAGCCAAGATAATTTCGTTCCCGGTTAAAGTAGACGCTCGGGAGTTGCGTTCGATCTCGGATTGCTCCCGGCTTGGTTGGCGCAATACGCTCCTCCACCTTGCCCGGTGAGCTTGGACTTCCGACCACAGCATGTCCCAATGTTTTTCTCTAACATGGTAATTGCTTCTACCGCATCACGATCACAAGGAAGTATTCTGTTCTGGCTCTGGCGAAGAGCAATGTTTCAGGATGCCAAACAATTCCGACCCAAGGAATTATACACAAATTACCCCAAGGCGTACGATGTAATACGGTAAGGTACATTGAGCCTCCAAACATCTTAGTACACATTCGTTCAGCAAGGAAGAAGCATATGCATTAGAATTGGAATAAACACTCTGGAATAAGCATCCAAGATGGCTTGCCAAATCGAAGCTGCTTATACCATGCTGCTTATTCCATTAAAATGAATATATCATTGATAACCAAGAATTGACAGAGACGTGCCGGAAGGAGACTTATGGAAAGTGACTGTAAATGAGTTCGTCTTCCGACCCTGATTAAGTATGCTCACGGCCTCAATGATCACGTAGATGGTGGCTGTATTCATGCCGCGGCATTTGGTAAGGCCGGTGGACGGGCTCTAGCATTCATAGCCACTACCTACTCCTAAAAAAGTAGGATCAAAGCGCGTTGAGATCGATGCTGCTCTTCAAGGCCAAGCCAAAGACGCATTTGCAAAGGTCTTGCATAGACTACACAAGATGATCCCGGATCTCTTTCAGGGCTGGCCCCGCACTATAGGGGTCACTTCATATCGAGTATTCACTGCTCTAGGCCAATGGGGTCGGGTAAATAAGGCTCATTTATTGCCTTTATATGTGTAATTGACCCGCACGAGCCCTTGCAGCTGGCGAGCTCGGCTAATGTCAATTGTAGGGGCACACCACGCAGTGGATCTTGACTTATCGTCAACAATACGAAAACACCGCATCGGTATATCTTACATTATATTTAATGCCATCTAGCACTCTGGGCCACTGACAGGCTCAGCGAACACACTCGTTCGACAGTCGATCGTACTCACTTTTCCCACTTCTTGAATCGTCCGTTAAAACACGTCCACCCAGGACTCACGATGAGACCCCCGGTCCCACCCGCCCTCATCTGGCTGACGGTGGCCTACGGTCAAACAATTCCCGAGTGCAGTCGAGAGCTCGCAGCGACCGACGAGTGTGCTGATGTCATCAATGCCAACGCCTGCTACAACGAGTTCGGCTTTTCGGGCACGCAAACTCTGACTTGCATTGGTGGTACAGATGACTCGGATAGGGCCAGAAAGGTAAACATATGTGTCGACAGGCTTAGGAATCGCATATAACTAACCAGGGGTACAGGCATGCAAGTGTTGCGGTTGTGTAGGTGTCCAGATGTGCAGTTGGGTACAGCAGCAAGGGTACACCTGTTAGATTTCAAAGTGTTCTATTAAGGAGAGGAATTCCAGCTACTCTGGAGCGGCCAGAATGGCCCTATATATATCTAAGATACTAAAGGAAAGGATACGTGGCCTTATATTGGCCACGTATGTGACAGAGTCACAAATGGGGATGGTGATCCTGAAGGATGACTATGGATGGGCTAACGTAGCCCAGAATCCAACACGCCCTCTCAGACTGAGGGAATTAACATAACCAGAATATCACCCCTCTACATGAACCAGTCCTAGCAACTCCAGAAACTTGAAGAACCTTGCCTTTGTCAAAGCTTTGGTGAGACCGTCTGCAGGCATTTCATTGGTTCCAAGGAAAGAGAGCCGTATATGGCCTTCCAAGATCTCCTGACGAATGTAGTGTTCCCTGACTCGAATGTGCTTAGTTCGACAATGGAATTCAGCGTTCTGAGCCAAATTAATAGCTCCAGCACTGTCTGAATGGATCTTGATAGCATTCAGAGTGAAACCAAGTTCCAGCATCAGTTCTCGTAGCCAGGCAGCCTCTTTGACGGCTTCAGAGAGTGCGTAGTACTCCGATTCCACAGTAGACTGAGCCACAACAGTCTACAGCTTGGATGCCCAGGAGACAGCGCCCCCAGCAAACGTGAACAGGTAGCCTGAGGTGGATTTGGCGCTGGTCTTGATGCTTCCAGCATAGCTGGCATCACAGTAACCAACCAACAGATCCGGAATCATCTCAAGGACCTCCTGGCGGGTCTTCCTGACATATTCGGGACCTCCAAATTTGATCCCAAGATCTTGAGAGTGCCACAAGTAGCGAAGTAGGCCCAGAGCGGCCTTATATTGGGCTGAGCCAGGGTTGTGAAGGTATCGCGAGAGAACACCCATAGAGTATGCAATATCTGGTCTCGTATACGACGCAGGGAAGTTCTCAGAACCGATCAGGGACTGGTATGTCTGAATAGGACGTGTATCGACCTCAAGGTCGTTGTCCAGGGACTCCATCTGTTCCACTGCTTGAGGAGATATCGGCACGTTCATCTTGCCAGTGTTCTGCTGGTCGAACGCCTCCACAGTCCTTCTCACATATGTCTGTTGAGAGAGATATAACGTCCTCTCAGCTCGGTTTCTGACAATGTGGACTCCTAGGAAGTGTTCAGCAGCTCCTATGTCCTTTATCTCAAATATAGAACCTAGTTCCTTCTTGAAGGCAGCGATCCCGTCACGATTAGCCCCCAAAATAAGGAAATCGTCGACATAGCTAATCACTATAATGCCACGGCTGATATTGACATAGACTGCGTTGTCAGAGACCAGAGGGTCGAATCCGAGGTCCTTCAGAGCGCTGCAAATGCGCTTCTGCCACTGCCTGGGGCTCTGCTTGAGCCCATATAGCGGTTTCGCAAGCTTCATAATCATGCCAGGTCTCCAGTTGATGGTATTCTCATCTGGATACATCTCAAAGAAGTCAGAGAGACCATCAGGCGTCTCCATAAAGATCTCTTCATCCAGTTCTCCCATCAGGAAGGCAGATACAGCATCCATCTGGTCAATTTCCCAGTCCAGAACGGCAGCAATGGTTAGAAGGAGCCTCCAGGTGGTAGTACGAGCGCTTGAGGCCTGGGTTTCGAAATAGTCGAGGCCATGGCGTTGCATGAAGCCTCGTACAACCACCCTAGCCTTGTACCGAGAGGTGTTGCCGTCAGAGTCCCTCTTCTGCTTATAAACATTGCGGCTAGAGAGAGTTTTACGCCCAGCAGGCAGATCAGACCTCCACAAAGGAATGAAGGTATTATTGCGCAGCAATGCCCGTATCTCTGTGTGAGTGCCATCCAGTCATTGAGGTGCCTCGGCAGACTCCATGGCTTCCTTGTAGCTAAAAGGCTCGTCATTACGGGGAAGTGCCTGATCAGGGTCAGAAGACGGCCAATTGGCATAAGATGCCTCGATCGTAACATGTGGAGATATGCCAGGGGTGGAAGACTCGGCCACGTAGTGGTTGTGAGTCCTCCGAGTGCGCCCTCCGGAGAGTACATTCTCTGGGTTGAGCCCTGATTGGATTCTTGACCTCGGAGCAGCCGTTGGGGCTACTTCTTGACGAGGTGGTTCAGATGATAGAAGAATCGAGTCAGCTAGAGCAGTACTAGGCTCAGGGTTGCTATATCCAGAGTCAGAATGATGACTATCATCATTATCAGAAGCGTCAGGGGACCCAAGAGGGGTCCCTAACGTGACAACTGGTTGGGGTGAATCATCTCTACCATCCCTTCCGTTATCTGACTCGATATATATATGTTGAGAATCGTGAGCGCCCTCTGGTGAAGACGGCGCTGGCAGATCTTCAGCATCGGGTCTGGTTGTCTCATAGTCATCAAGTGTACCACGGAAGTTTGGAAAGATGTGGATCAAATCCCTTGAAAGTACATACCCATCCAAAATCTCAAGATGGGCAGTAACTACAACCTTTCTCAGGTGTGTAAGATACACCTGGTACTGGTTGGAACCAAGGGAACGAAGAATACGACCTCTCCTTGCGTGTGGAGTGGTCTTGTCTCCCTTAGGGCGGTGCTGCTGCGGCAAATGGACCACAGCGGCCTGCCCGATTGACAGTAAATTCGTCAAATCAGGCTTGTTATCCTTTCCAGGGTTCAGATCGTCAAAGAAAACTTCAAAGGGAGTCTTCTTAACGCCCTGGAGGAAAGATGTATAGCTCACATTGAGCCTATCACATACGGCAGGTCCAACAACCGGCCAAAGGGCTTCAGGTAGCCCGGAATCCTTCATAATACTGCGAATGAGAGCGTGTATAACGCCAAAGGATCTCTCAGCCACTCCGTTCTGCTCGGGAGTGTATGGAGCGCTGACTTCGAACAGGATACCACGTTCAGCTCCCCATTGCTTGAATCTCGCGTATTCAGAACCACCATCCATTCGAAATCGCTTTGGATAACGCCCGTACTGGGTGTGAGCGTATTCACAGTAGCGAATGGCTTGGTCAGAAGCTTCCCCTTTCTTCTCGTGAGGGCAGTACTCCCTCAAACGAGACTTGCCATCCACAAATACGGTGGCATAGAGAGAACCATCATAGCCTTGGACAGAGTGCTTGGCTGTATCCATATGGACCAGGTCTAAAGCATGATCTGGATGTTCCTGCTCAACTCGAGAGACTAGGCGACGTAGATTGGACTCCAGACATTCCAGACAGGTGAATTCTTTTGCCAGCTCTTGTACATTCGGCGGCAATTCAATCCCTTTGGTGATACTGGCTGTCTTGATCAGGTCACCAATAGATCGGTGGCCAAGTCTTGTATGCCAGCGGTGGAGTAGTCTTAGCGCCACAGATTTGG